GCGGGAGGAGGATCTGACGGTGGGAAATGGGCGGGGAGGGGAGGTTGACGCGACGGGCAAGGGAGGGCGACGGGATTGGGAGGGGAGGGCGACGCGACGGGCAGGGGGAAGGGAGGCGACGCGACGGGCAGGGGAAGGGGAGGCGAACGCGACGGGCAGGAGGAGGGGAGGCGACGCGACGGGCAGGAGGAGGGGAGGCGACGCGACGGGCAGGGGGAAGGGAGGCGACGCGACGGGCAGGAGGAGGGGAGGCGAACGCGACGGGCAGGAGGAGGGGAGGCGACGCGACGGGGAGGGGAAGGGGAGGCGACGCGACGGGCAGGGGGAAGGGAGGCGACGCGACGGGCAGGGGGAAGGGAGGCGACGCGACGGGCAGGGGGAGGGCGCGACGGGCAGGGGGAGGGCGCGACGGTCAGGGGGGAGGGCGCGACGGGCAGGGGGAGGGCGCGACAGTGGGAGGGGCCGGGCTAGGCGCGCGGTGAGGGCGTGGAGGGCGCGGAGGGTACTAACGTGCGGAGGGCGCGGAGGGCACGAACGTGCGGAGGGCGCGGAGGGCACGGAGGGGCGGGCCGAGGGGCGCACTAAGGGGCGCGACGTGGGGCGGGCTGAGGGCCGCGCTAAGGGGCGCGAGGGCGCTAGGAGCGCGGAGGGCGCGGAGGGCGCGAGGCGTGACGGAGGGCGCGGAGGGCGCTAGGCGCTACGGAGGGCGCGAGGGCGCGGAACGGAGGGCGCGCCGGCTAGGGCGGGGAGGGAGGATCGATACCTACTCGTGATACCATCTCAGAATCTACATGCAACGGAATGATTGGGATTAGGGTTTGCAAGCATACAAATAGGAGTCCTACAAATGTTGTACCCTCTAGGGAGTGCCTCACTGCAGCCTATCATAACATTAACATTTGACAGGGGGAGAAAGGGGAGAGGGGAGGAAGGAGGCTGGGGGGTGTGTGTGCTAGTTTTGTCCCCAACCCTCCCCCACCAATGTTTTTGCTCAGCCAGTAGAAGTGAAACCAGTGAACAACCTGCTCCTTTCGTGCCTTCCCCTCCATCCTCTCTAGTGCCTTGTATTTTTTGCCCTGAAGCATCCAGATGAATTTCTGCTGGTGCCCTGACATTTCAGGATGGCCAGGGAATTTTGCCCTGAAAAATCAGGGCATTTCAGAGATTTTTCAAAAGTTACCCTGAGGGCTCAGGATGCCCTAAATCCTAGCACAGGCCCTGGTTCTTAGTAAGACATCTAGCTAAATTAAAACTGTTCATGGTTTGGAGTGTCAGAATTAGTAACACATAACAGTTTCGGAGCATCTCAATTAGTCACGAATACTGGTTTCGGAGTTTCACAATTAGTCAAAAATATGTTTGTGACACTTTCTTTTGGGACATGTCCCGTCCAGAATCTTCCCTGAGACGATGCAGGAAGGCACAGGCGAATTGCAGAAGAACGACTTTCAGGTGGTGCTGTGGCATAAATTGAATATCGGGAACGCGGAATTCACTTGGCAGGAGGAGATCATGAAGCGTACGTTTGAGCCACAATTCCACATCAGCCAGCTGAAGTAACAGCCATGTCCTGCTGTGTTCACCTTTGGCATAATCAGCCTGCTGCAAGTCCTGATGCTCTTGCAATTTTTGAATGCTAGAACGGTGGTACGGTAGTACAAGATATCATATTGTTCAAAGTGATGGCAAGTCGGCCACCCTCTGCCTGTCCGCCTAGTGTTTCTCTTATCCTGCATGATAACTTCACGGCTTGCTGAACACCTGGTTTGTTCCTAGATCTGGTGCATCTGAACGGCAGCACTCCTCCCCCCCCCTAGGCCCATTCAGCTTCCAAGTGGCCAAAAATGCGGCGCATTCGCTTTCAAGCGCATTCATCTTAGAAGCAGCCCCTTGTTCCAAGTGCTTGAAAGAGAGCCTTGTTCCTGAAGCAGCTTCACACGGAATTGGGTCGTTCAGCTCCTTGTTCCTAGTGCTCTTGAGCAGCACTCTCCGCTCCAGTGGACGACCCTCCACCACCCCATCCATTGCGTGTGAAGGTCACGCAGTAGCACACCCGTTTTCCAGAAACCTTTTCAGTGTTGTTGCCTCAATGGCAGCACCCTCCCCTCGGGCAATCGGCCCTCCACCCCGACTATTCCGTGGGGAGGCCATGCGATGCAGCGCAGACGACCCTCCAGTTACCGTGCACCGGCTTTCCAGGAACCTTCCTAGTGCTGTTGCCTCAACGGCAGCACTCCCCTCGGGCATTCTACTCTCCACTCCGCCTATTCTGTGGGGAGGCCACACAATGCAGCGCACCCGGCCCTCCAGGCACCTCTTGCACCCACTTTCCAGGAACCTTCCTAATGTTGTTGCCTCAATGGCAGCACTCTCCCCTCCGGCAATCGACTCTCCACCCCGCCTATTCTGTGGGGAGGCCACACGATGCAGCGCACCTTACCTTCCAGCAGCGCCAGTGGCACCTGGCAAGTGACAGAAGGGGAGGGTGTCGGGTGCAGGAGGAACAGGGAATCACAAAGAAGGGAGTACAGTGTTCGCTAGGAGGCCACACGATGCAGCGCACCTTACCTTCCAGCAGCGCCAGTGGCACCTGGCAGATGGTAAGGTGCAAGGTGCAGGAGGGGCGGGAGAAGAAGAGAGCTCAGAATTCTGTCGGGAGGCCACACACTGCAGAACACCCGACTCTCTAGCAGCGCGAGTGGCACTTGGCACGTGACAGGGGGAGCAATGCGGGCAGGGGGGAGTTTGGGGGGGGATGCGGAGCAGGAGGGAGGCGTTTCGGAGTGGACAAAGAGTGTGATAACACTGACTGGATACAACACGTAGGAAGGGGGGGGGGGGGGAGGGAGTCACGTGAAACACAGCCACTGCCACGGCCATACCCACAGCCACACTCCCACCTACCACCCACACCCACACTCATACCGGGCCAAAATGCTTAGAATCCTCGCTGACATCAGCATTGTCCCCTTCCACCCAGCAGTGACCCTTAGGAATCCGCCTGATGACGTCATCAGCCCTGCTGGCGCCACTGCTGCTGGTGCTGACGTCAGCACTCCCGTCCGGCACTGTTACCCAGTCGTCCTGTAGTGCGATGAGACGCTTTATGAGGCACACGTCGGGATCAGTGGGCGATCTGCACTGTTGCAAGGGTGTGTGGGGGAGGGGGAGCGAGGGGTGAGGGGGAAGGGGGGAGAGGAAGGAGGAGAAGGGGAAAGGAGGAGGGGGACACACAAAGAAAAATCGTTTTCTTTATTCAAAACCGAAATGAGAGGGAGATTGGGGTAGAGAGGTGAGCAGAAGGAAGACGAAACATGAGTGCCATGAGTAACTAGTTGGAATAAGTAGGGGACATGCACTGCTGCAAGGGGTGGGAGTGGAGGGGAAGAGGGTGAGGAGGAGCTGAAAGAAAGGGCGTCTACACTGTCTATGATAGTAACCCATCACCCACCCTGCTCTCTCCCCTCTCCCCGAAACCGCATCTGCTTCTCATCATCATGGCAACATGCCACTCTTACCTTCGCATTTAACAGGCTCAAAACCTCTCTCCTCCTCCCCATCACCCCCCTACTCCTCTTCCCTTTCCCTCCTCGATCCTCTCCCTCCTCCCCCTCCTCTCCACCTAATCTTTCCCCTCTCTCGTCCCCCCCCCTTCCCTTACACCCCCACCCCATTTTCCTCGATATAATCACCTGAGAACCACCACGTCCCCGCGCTGGTACTGCATGTAACGCGCCGACAGCCTATCCAGAAGCACGCGATCGCTCAGGGCGGCACGGAACGGCAGACCGGTTTTGTCGCGTAGCGGGTTGAAGGTGGGCGACATGGAGTGGCCGTCCACGCCGCACATGCTGACGACGTTGTCGTGAACCGTCAGGACGACCGGTACGGCGATGGATAGCTGACGGACGAGCTGTCGCAATAAGAATACAGATGTTTCTGAGTATACGGTGGCAGAATATTGCGATTGTTGAATCTACAGTATTGAAAGACCATTGTTCTTATACATCCACCTACGAGTAGCGGGAATTGGACGGTTGATGATAAAGAAATGCGGGGAATCTCGAAGCAGAGAAATAAACACGCAGGATATCCCTTGGGTGCTAGCACGGAAATGCTTACCTGCCAGATAGCGAAGCGCATCGTCATGACTCCAATATAGGCTTCGACACAGACGACACTGTTGAGGGGGATCAACTTTTAAACGACGCGAAACGAAGGAGGCCCTACAGTCAACTGATGGAGTCAGGAAACACCTGACTCCCTGAGCCCGCGATTTCAGTGATGCCTGTAATGCCACAGATGCCAACGCGAATGGTGCTGGTGATCGCGACGACTATGTAAGTTTGCTACGAACCTGGTAACCGCAGGACCATCATTTTGCGACTCGAAACTCGCATGAACGCTCTGGGTGAAGCAACGAGCCGCTGAAAACTGCTGTTCAAATAGCTCGCGTGAGACTGCTAATGACGATATGAGGGTGAAAACTGCTGTTCAAGATCGCCGTTACCCAACCTGCTGGTTCTAGGAGGGTATTGCGTTTGGTGTCAGTGTCCTTCGATACAACGTTGCGTGGAAAAATAATCGCTACCTGATGAAACGAGGTATTTCTGAAATGAAATCTCCTCGATATTGGGAACCTGGAAGTTGGTAGGTACGCGAGCGAGTGGAGTGAGAGTGTGTGTTTGGCGGGAAAACTAAAATACGAGTACAGTACAGCGGTCAGTTGATGTACCCGTTAGTGTACTGCTGCAGTTCCTGGGGACACTGAGGGCTTGTAGTGATGCAAAAATAGTCATTGATTAAGGACCACAAAATCGTGGAGTATAACAAATCAAGACAAGGCATCTTGTCATGTGGGATTTAGTAAGGCGGCATATACATGAGGGGGCAATTGGGCAAGATTCATTTACTTTGGTGAGTGCACAGCATGCGGTGTGCGGTGCCGCCCACTCTGTCGTATACAGCAAAAAACACCTGGTCAGTGTCAGTGGTGGCCTTCAGCTGCTTCCGCTGCTCTGATCCATGGATGAGCTGCCAAGGAACGCACGGGAGATGGAAGATGAGAGCACGAATCTTAAGGCCGTGTTGCACTCTGCCCAAAGCGGTCGAAGTTCAAACATTGGCAAAACTTTCGCCTCTGATGCATCAGATGTGAGTGCCTCTGATGCACCATGCCCATGGATACGATGTGAGTGAAGGCAGCACATGGGGAACACTCTGGTACCCAACAAGGTTGGCAAAAACAGAGCTGGTAAAAATTAAAAAGAAATTAATTCAACAAACAGAACAATACAAAAGCGAAATACAGTACGAGAAACATCAAGGTGTAGAGTGCACACATGCCACCACTCACCAAAAATCTCCAGCGCAGTTATCCTTTTCCTAGGATCTTTCTCCAACATCCTCAGAATCAAATCCTTGGCGCCGTCTGAGATCGCCGCCCATCTCGGGTGCCGGAAATCCACGTGCGCCGTCCGGATCTTGCGCTCCAGGTCAGCGTCAGTCGCCGCCCAAAAAGGCGGGAAACCACAGAGCAGAATGTACAGCACCACTCCGGCGCTCCAGATGTCTGCTTCGGGGCCGTAGGCTCGGTCCAGCACCTCTGGTGCGGTGTACTCCACTGTTCCTGCTCGGTCTGTCCTCAAGGTACCTGGAGAGGTGGGTGGTAGAGAGGGCACAGGAGGAAAGGAGAGTGGGTGGGTGGAGTGATGTACATCGATGGCCGTAGGCTCGGTCCAGCACCTCTGGTGCTGTATTCTCCACTGTTCCTGCTCGGTCCGTTCTCAGGGTGCCTGGAGGGACGGGTCACGGCAGACACAGGAGGAAAGAAAAGTTGGTGGGTACTGGTGTGAATTGATGCCCGTAGGCTTGGTCCAGCACCTCTGGTGCTGTATACTCCACTGTTCCTGCTCGGTCCGTTCTCAGGGTGCCTGGAGGGACGGGTCACGGCAGACACAGGAGGAAAGAAAAGTCGGTGGGTACTGGTGTGAATTGATGCCCGTAGGCTTGGTCCAGCACCTCTGGTGCTGTATACTTCACTGTCCCCGCCCAGTCCGTTCTCAAGGTACCTGGAAGACAAATGTGGAGGGGAGATGAAAGGAGAATCCATGGGTGGAATGATGTGCATTGACGGCCATCGTCTCGGTCCAGCACCTCTGGTGCAGTGGGGTGATGTGCATGGGTGTACTCCACTGTCCCTGCACGGTCTGTCCTGTATGTTTTTTGAGAATTCTAAAAAAAACATACATCGTCTCGGTCCAGCACCTCTGGTGCAGTGCACTCCACTGTCCCCGCATGGTCTGTCCTTCCTTAGGGTGCTTGGGGAGGTGATAGGGAGGGTAGACGCCAGCAAGGGGGACAGAGATGCAAGGGGAATGGCGAGTTGATGGATGGGGTGATGTGGATTGCAGACACATGCACAGTTGGAGCATGCTTGCTTCCCTCTCACATGCTGCAAGTTTCCTCTCTCTCACGCGCTCCACACTTTCCTCCCCTCTCACCTGGCGTGTGTAGGGCAGCGACCCCAAAGTCGATCAGTTTGATCCGCGTGTGGCATTCCTTGGACCGTAGCAGAATGTTCTCGGGCTTCACGTCACGGTGCAGCACGCCGCGCCGCCCGCACTGCAGCAGCGCCTCTGCCAGCCCGCGGCACAGCAAGGCGGCGTCCCTCTCTGGGAACTGCCCGCGCTGCTTGATGCGGTCAAACAGGTCTCCCCCCTCGCAGAGCTCCATGATCAAGTGAACATACTGTGAGGGAAAGGCATGGGAAAGAAGGGAGAGAGTAGGGGTTGTGAGGGGTTGAGAAGGGTGCAATCCCCATCAAATCCTCCAACCCACACAACTGGCAGCACTGCAGCAGCGCCTCTGCCAGCCCGCGGCACAGCAGGGCGGCGTCTCTTTCTGGGAACTGCCCGCGCTGCTTGATGCGGTCAAACAGGTCTCCTCCTTCACAGAGTTCCATGATTAAATGCACGTACTGTAAGGGAGAGGCATGGGAGAGGGGGGTAAAGGGGAGAGGAAAGGGGTTCTGAGAGGTTGAGAGGGGTGCTATTGGTGGGCACAGCAGGGCGGCGTCCCTCTCGGGGAACTGCCCGCGCTGCTTGATGCGGTCAAACAGGTCCCCACCCTCGCACAGCTCCATGATTAGGTGGACATACTGTGTGGGAGAGAGAGGGAAGGGGTGGCGGAAGAGGGAATGATTACACAGCTCCATGATTAGGTGAACGTACTGTTAAGGGAGGTGGGAGGAGGGAAAGAGAAGAGCTTATGAGGGGCTGAAAGGGGAATTACCTTCTCTGGGAACCGCCCTCTCTGGGAACCGCCCTCTCTGGGAGGTTGCCAGTATGCCCCATACCTTCTCATCCTCCAAGGCATCACATGCAGGCAGGTTGATGATGCACGGGTGGTGGTCTCGCTCGCAGCAAGGGGCATGCTCATATCACATGTTCACCGGACAGGACGCACTAGCATGAGAGGCAATGCCTCCGCATCTTGTCATCCTCCAAGCCATCATGCAGGTTGATGATGCATGGTTGGGTGGTGCAGCAGGTAACACCCTGCCACATGCTCTCATGCTCATAAGCTCACAAGATCACACATTCACACGATCACACATTCACACATTCACACATTCACACGATCACACATTCACAAGATCACACATTCACACATTCACACATTCACACAATCACACATTCACACATTCACAGATTCACACGATCACACATTCACACATTCACACATTTACAAGATCACACATTCACACATTCACACGATCACACATTCACACATTCACACATTCACACATTTACAAGATCACACATTCACACGATCACACATTCACACATTCACACATTTACAAGATCACACATTCACACATTCACACGATCACACATTCACACATTCACACATTCACACGATCACACATTCACACATTCACACATTCACAAGATCACACATTCACACATTCACACGATCACACATTCACACATTCACACATTTACAAGATCACACATTCACACATTCACACGATCACACATTCACACATTCACACATTTACAAGATCACACATTCACACATTCACACGATCACACATTCACACATTCACACATTCACACATTCACACGATCACACATTCACACATTCACACATTTACAAGATCACACATTCACACATTCACACGATCACACATTCACACATTCACACATTTACAAGATCACACATTCACACATTCACACGATCACACATTCACACATTCACACATTCACACGATCACACATTCACACATTCACACATTCACACATTTACAAGATCACACATTCACACATTCACACGATCACACATTCACACATTCACACATTTACAAGATCACACATTCACACATTCACACGATCACACATTCACAAATTCACAAGATCACACATTCAAATGCTCTCCCAAGTGCCGCGCACCTTGTCGTCCTCGAAGGCATCGTGCAGTTTGATGATGCACGGGTGGTCGCGCGGCAGAGGGCATGCTGTGTGCCATGCTCACATGCTGCAACAGAATGACATGCAATGCTGCCAAGCCATGCACCTTGTCGTCCTCAAAAGCATCATGCAGGTTGGTTGATGATGCACGGGTGGTCTCGCAGCAAGGGGGCGTGCTATGTGCCATGCTCACATGCTCACAAGTCACAAGAGGATGACAAGCAACACAATCCCACGCACCTTGTCATCCTCAAAAGCGTCGTGCAGGTTGATGATGCACAGGTGGTCGCGCAGCAGGGAACTCCGTGCCACGCGCTCTCATGCTCACACGCACACACATTCACACATTCACATGCTCTCCCATGTGCCACCTACCTTGTCATCCTCAAAGGCGTCGTGCAGGTTGATGATGCACGGGTGGTCGCGCAGCAGCCCCAGAATGATCACCTCTGTTCGTACGTCCTCCACGTCCTCCTTGCACTGGCGGGTTTTGAAGAAGGGGAGAGACGAGGGGAAGGAGTGTGTTGTGAGGGTGTGATGTGTGGCAACAGGCAGACCCAGAATGATCACCTCCGTTCGCATGTCCTCCACGTCCTCCTTGCACTGGCGGGTTTTGAAGAAGGGGAGAGACGAGGGGAAGGAGTGTGTTGTGAGGGTGTGATGTGTGGCAACAGGCAGACCCAGAATGATCACCTCCGTTCGCACGTCCTCCACGTCCTCCTTGCACTGGCGGGTTTTGAAGAAGGGGAGAGACGAGGGGAAGGAGTGTGTTGTGAGGGTGTGATGTGTGGCAACAGGCAGACCCAGAATGATCACCTCCGTTCGCACGTCCTCCACGTCCTCCTTGCACTGGCGGGGTGAGGTGGGGGAAGGAGGGGAGAGAAGGAGAGAAGGAAAGTAGAGGTGTGTTGTGAGGGAGGGTGTGTTGTGAGGGAGGGTGTGTTGTGAGGGAGGGTGTGTTGTGAGGGAGGGTGTGTTGTGAGGGAGGGTGTGTTGTGAGGGAGGGTGTGTTGTGAGGGAGGGTGTGTTGCACTACAGCAGAGCCCCGAAAAGAAGGGTGGTTTTGACATGTCTCAAAACCACCCTTCTTTCACAGGGTGTGTTGCCAGCTGGCGGGTGTTGCAGCAGAGCCCCGGAACCACCTCTGTAAGCACACCTGCCAACTGCTCCACCACCTCTTCGCCACTTCCCCCGTCCTCACCTTCATGTGCTCCTTCTTTATCGTCTTGTTCGCCATCTTCACTCCCATCGCTTGGTGGTTGTAAGGAGAACCTGTAACTCTTCCCCCCCCTCCCGCCCACTCCCCCCCCTTCCCCTTCCCCCTCCTCACCTTCATGTGCTCCTTCTTGATCGTCTTTATCGCCATCTTCACCCCCGTCGCTCGGTGCGTGCACGGCCGAATCACGCCGTACCGCCCGCTCCCGATCCGGGCGGCGCTCACAGAATAAAACCTCTTCACGTTATCATACGGCATCCGCAGGATAAAATCCTTGAAGCTCAGATTCCCCGAATCCACCTCCGCCACCCCTGCCGCCCCTGTCGCCGCCCCACCTTGCCACCCACTACCCCCACCCTCTCTCCCCCCTACACCCTCCCCCTCTGCGCCCTCTCCCATCTCCCCTGTAAGCCCTCGGGTGATATACGTGCTAAGGGTCTTAAAGAACTGCTGTGAGTGGGCGTCTAGGGATGCGCACCGGTGGTGCATAGAGGGGGGTGCAGGTGCAGGTGCAGGGGTAGGAGCAGGATGGACAGGGGTAAGGGCAACAGAACTACTGCCACCAGCAGCAGCAGCAGCAGCAGCAGCAGCGGCCGAGGTGTGGTGAAGGACGGAGGGAAAGGCAGGTGAAGAGCCCGCAGCATGAGAAGGTTGCACTGCTGGAGGAGCCATCTGCATACCACTGCCGCTGCTGCTGCCGCTGCCGCTGCCACCGCTGCCGATGCTGCCGCTGCTGGTTATCCCCACACCTGCGCTCGCATATCGCCTGTGAAACCCACCGCCCATGCCGCCACCCATGCCCCCGCCCATGCCGCTGCCAAAGCTACCACTGTCATTGCTGGGGGCGTTTAGAGAAGCACCATGGGGGGGAGAATCGCTCATGGTGGCGCTGGTGGTTGCTTGGATCGCACTCAGTCTGCGCAGCAACGCCTCCTTCAGCTGCTGCAAATCCACCTGCCCCGTCCCTCCCTGCTGCACCTGCTGTTGGCCCTGTTGCCCCTGCCCCTGCTGCTGTGGTTGGTGATACCCCTGCTGCCCCTGCTGTCCCTGCTGCTGCAGGTTCATCCGGTGCTGTTGCAGCTGCTGCTGCAGCCTCTGAAGCACCTTGATCTGATCCTCCTGCAGCCTCAACGCACCTTGCTGCAGGGGAGGTGCACTTGCGCTCGAGTCTAAAGGCGACGGCGACAGCTGCTGCTGCAGCCTCTGAAGCACCTTGATCTGATCCTCCTGCAGCCTCAACGCAGCTTGCTGCAGGGGAGGTGCAATTTGGCTCGATTCTGAAGGCGACGGCTGCTGCTGGCCCACTGCAGAATCCGATTTCCTCTTGAGCTGCTGCTCATGAGGATTGAATGCAGCAGCAGGAGCAGCAGGAAGAAAAGGAGTAGGAGGAGCAGCAGGAAGAGAAGGAGGCGCAGGAGAAAGAGGAATTGGAGCAAGGGGAGCAAGAGGAGGAGCAGAAGAGTGAAGGGGAATGCACGGGCCAGCTGCGGCAGCAGCTGCACTGACACACACGACGGCAGGAGGAGCAGGAGGAGCAGGAACAAGAGGAGCAGGAGGGGCAGGAGGAAGAAAAGGAGGAGCGGGAGCAGTAAGAGCAGAAGGAGCAGGGGGAGGAAGGGCGCCACTTCCATTACCCACAGCACTCCCATTAGCCGCTGCAACCCTTTCAGCCAGAGACACAGAAACCCCAGCAGGGTCACTCGAGAACGGGGACCTCGGGGGCTTGGGAGACCTCGTCACCGGACTGAACTCCCCTGCACCGCACTCCAAACCTGCAGGCACGCTCAGAGCCGTAGCAAACTGCCCTGGGGACCTGAAGGGGCTTCTAGGGGGGAGGTTGAGGTTGAGGGTTCCCCCGCAGCTGTTGCTATGGCTTAGCCCGAGGCTGCTGCCGAAGCTGGCGCTGCTGTGGTGGTTACTACCGAAGCTGTGGCTTCGGAGGGTGCGACGTGTGGTTACCGCGTTACAAGTGCTCTCACCACCACCAACACCACCAGCAGCACCGGCAGCACCACCACCAGCAGCAGTGGCACCACCCACGGTGCTGCCGCTGCTGCTGCTCGTTCCGAGACAGCTGGTCCCGATGCTGCCGCTGCTACCGAACCTCCGGGCTGCGTCCGAGCCAGAGTGGTCTGCGTAGGACCGGTGGCGCCGATGCTGGCCCATAGGCCCGGCGCTGCCGGACGGGATTCCGAGCCTCAGGTGCTGCTGCTGTGGGAGCTGCGGCCGCCGCCGGTGCTGCAGCAGCTGCTGCTGGGGCTGCTGCTGCTGCTGCTGCTGCTGCTGCTGCTGCTGCTGCTGCTGCTGCTGGGGCTGCGGAAACTGGGGCAGCTGCTGCTGCTGTTGGGGCAGCTGTTGAGGAGGAATGGCTAGTTCACCCCCTCTGCCCGCGCCCGCGCCTGCGCCTGCGCCTGCGCCGTGCAACTCTTCCTCCTCCTGAAAGCTGGAAGGTTCGTCCAAAACTCCCTGCTCTGCGCGAAAGCACGCGGAAGCTTTCTGGGCGGGCGAGGAATCTTCGCGCGGGCTGGCCGCCCAAGGATGGGGGGGCGGGCGCGTAGGGGAATGCGCGGGCGACATGCGCGGGGAGAGATGCGGGGAGAAGAGCGGGGAGGGGCAATCGCCGCCGTCCGCGCCGAAAGGTGGCGTGCGCGGGGAGTGCATGAAAACAGGCGGCGGGTGGAAATCCACACTCAGAGCGCGCCGATGCGGCGCGTCATCCCCGTTACCAGCCGATCCGCCTGTGGCAACCGGCCGATTCCCCCTCCCTGCCCCGATACCGTAGTAATAGCTTCCCGTACCGTTAATTATCCCCATAGGCGCGGTTTCGACTCCTCCGGGTTTCGTCCTGGGATGAGACGCCATGGAGCCGTGTCGCTGGTGTCTTATTATCATTCTCTTTTTGCGGCTGCTGTTGCTTGTTGTACCAAAACCGCCGCCGCCGCCGCCGCCGCTTCCGCTGCCGCCGCCGCCGCCGCCGTCGCTGCCGTTGATTCCGGTGCTGTTGAATCGTCGGATCACCTCCCGTGCGACCGTGTCGCTGCTCTCGTTTCTGTCGTACTCGTCGTCGTCGTCGTCGCCCGAGTCGTATCTGGTCGCAGTCTCAGCACCGTGACGATAGTCCCTCTCGCTATTGTCACACGCGACGGCGGTCGCCAAATCGCGCATCTCCTCATCCGCCCCGCCGACGCTGCCGCAGCGGCTGCTGACGTGGCGGTCGAGGCTGCCGCAGCGGCTGCTGACGTGGCGATCGAAGCTGCCGGACGGCGGGAGGCCGGCACGGCGAAAAGACCCGGCGCGTTGAGAACCAAAGGAACCGCCGACACCGCCTCTGGCGATGGCGGCGCCGCCAGCAACGTCATCTCGATTCCCCGCGTCGCCGGCGAGCGGTGGTTCGAAGCGCAACGAGGGGGCCGACGCGAGGGAGGAAGGGGTGTCGGGGTAGTAACTAGCAGGGTCGTATAGTCCGTAATCGCTAAAATCGTCGGTCCACGCTATACTGCCGCTCCTGCCGCTGAACGTGCTACTGCTGTGTCGGCTACTGACGGCGCTTCCCGCGCCGCTTCTAACGCCGCTTCGCGCGCCACTCCTGCCGCTGCCGCCGGTGCCGTCGCTGAGAGTGATGTCTTTGAAGCCGCTGGTTACCCGGTTACTCCAGTCGTCGCTGCCCATGCGAACGGGCAGGTTGGATGCTTCCCCCCACCCGCCTGTCTTCGTTGTAAACCTATCCGTTTCCGACATTGCGCTTCTTTTTGCTCCTCACAAAAACGTCGCCTCTCCTTCCCAGTCTCTAAATTCCTCTCAACAAATTTCGACTCCCGAGGCGTACCACCCAATTCTGTATATTCACCCTAACGAGGACGCACGTATCGAGGCGGATTAACGGGAGCCGAGCGGGTTTCGCTGGCGGGGAGTCGTTTAACTATCGCGCGAGTCGTGAGTAGGATGCCTCCTCGCGAGCGCCAAAAGCAAATGCACGCTTTATATACAGCCTAACAACGCTACTACGATGTAGGATTTGCGTCAAATATCGTCCCTTAGCAGCCTAGTTCTACTCTCGTCGTTGGTACGCGATTCGCCGAATCTAGAAAGCTGGTTTCTTTTAGTCCACTTCCAAATCTGGAGTCTGGAATGGGTCTGCTCGGAGCGGCCAGCACGGCAGCGTGCAGCGTTAACGGGGGAGCTATACCTATTGCATCGCTTTCTAGAGAACTGTGGAAACAGGGTCTTACGACTCGAGAAGCAGGAGGTCGTGACGCTCCAACAGTAAGAGCCAGATTAGGGCATGGATGGTGATCTTGGTGGTGATCGTAAATGAGAAAGGGCTGAAGGAAAAAAGAAACACGGGCAGCGCTCAAGGAATTATTAGAACCCTCCCGCCCGCGAAGTCTACTAAGAAAGTAACGTGTTCTTCCTGAAGACTAACGCGCGTGCGTGACGGTCCTTGCTTGAAATAACAACGCCAGAACGCGCGGCTGTGCTTCTGGTTAGATGGGGATGGGATTCGATAGGAACACGCTGCAGTCTAGGAGATCTGCTGCTGATCTCTCTGCCACTGCTTCTCCTTCCCTGATTGTTTCGATTTGCCTCCCCTCTCGAGCATTGGTTGGCCATGGCGTTTCTCTGCCTGAGCAGCTGCAGCTTTGATTACTAAACTAGGTCAGTGCGTGGTGGACTCATTCTTTGGCCAGTGTGGTGAAACAAAAGGGTCGAAGAGTGCGGAAAACAGTGTAACTATGCTCGTTTGGACTTCTGGACGAAACGAATTGAAAGGAAATGGAACGAAACAAAATGAAACGCGCTGCCGCAGCTCTGTTCGTGTCGAATGCTGATTGGTTAGCTCTGGGTGATGTTCCAGGAGGCGTTTTATTTTTCGCACTTGCACCCCATGTCTGTCGTGCAAGTGGGCTGGCCGAATAAAAAAAGGGAAATTATACGGGAAGTCACAGTTATGCCCGTTTTATCACGTTTGGTCACAGGGTTATCACGGACAGTCACAGTACAGTAAATTTTATCACGCGTGATCACAGCGCTATCACGGATGGTCATACTTTGCCCCTAAAAGTTATCACGTTTGGTCACTCGTTGAAACGATGGCTGAAAAGTTGAAATTCCGTAATCTACTGTACACAGAGTTGAAATTCCGTGACCAAACGTTCACGGAATTTGGATTACGGAATTTCAACTTTCCAGCCATCGTTTCAACGAGTGACCAAACGTGATAGCTTTTCGGGGCGAGGTATGACCATCCGTGATAGCGCTGTGATCACGCGTGATAGAATTCTACTGTACTGTGACTGTCCGTGATAACCCTGTGACAAAACGTGATAAAACCGGCATAATTGTGACTTCCCGTATAATTTCCCATAAAAGAGTTGGCCAATGAGAACAGCCCGTTATGTCTCAAATGAGACGACTCACTGTCATCGACCATGTTGCCTGGCTACGAAAACGGGTTGTTTTGAATTTTGACCGAGTTTTGCTGCTGCCACCGAGGGCTGAAAAGGCCGTTACGCATGCGCAACTCTTTAGAAATCCCTGAGGTGTGACGTTTTCCGTCCGTTTCAAATCATCGACACGAACATGGGTCTTGCTCGTTCCCGCCAATCACGACAGCAACAGTCGTCGTACGGAGACAAACTCAACAACATGGTACAACAGTGCAGTTGCGAGAGGTCCTCCTCACTCGTTCACCCACCCACGAACTCTCAACAGTAGCTTGCGCGATGTGTAACAGCAATCGTTGGCTGTTTCACTGTATATCCGAACATTAAACTGACATCGTATTTTCCAAGGAAAATAAGATATTTCAGGAGGACATACGGTAGCTGGATTTCATGGATCAAACAATGATTCTGTAAGTGCCACTTTTACCATTGCAAGTGCCTCAAGATAAATGATATTATAGTATCAAGGTTATTCACCAGTAGGAAGAAACAATCAATACCGTTCATGGACTAGCACAAACACCACACGCAAAATGAAACACTCCTAGTCTCCTACTGAAGCCACACCTATCGGTGCATAGTTTTGGTCAAGCACCAAACGGAAATCACAACTGTCAGATTACAATTGTATCTCTAGGCTACAGTAGGGTCACTCCTTAGTGAGTACAACACTTTAGGGTTAGTTTTCCCCTACTTGTACTCATCTCTTGCCTAGTTCAATCCATCATTCCTAGTTCTATTCTTGACATGTTATCAGAGTAGGAACCGTTCCTACATGGGCCCACCGTTCCGCCTAGTGGTAGCGCCACGCCCTACACAGTAGCCAGCGCGCTGGCGCCCCTAGCTCTCACTGTCGCGACCCTTGCAGCCCGTGCGCTGCCCCTGCGACCGCGCTGCCCCTGCAGCCGTGCTCGCCCCTACGACCGTGCTGCCCCTGCAGCCGTGCTTGCCCCTGCTACCGTGCTGCCCCTGCAGCCGCGCCTGCCCCTGTGGCCCGCGCGCTGCTCCTGCAGCCCGTACGCTGCCCCTGCAGCCCGTTCACGCTGCCCCTGCAGCCACGCGTCGCCTCTGCAGCCCGTCCGCGCGGCCCCTGCAGCCCGCGCGTCGCCCCTGGAGCCCGCGCGCCGCCTCTGCAGCCCGTCCTCGCGGACCCTGCAGCCCGCGCGTCGCCCCTGGAGCCCGCGCGCCGCCTCTGCAGCCCGTCCTCGCGGACCCTGCAGCCCGCGCGTCGCCCCTGGAGCCCGCGCGCCGCCTCTGCAGCCCGTCCTCGCGGACCCTGCAGCCCGCGCGTCGCCCCTGGAGCCCGCCCGCCGCCTCTGCAGCCCGTCCTCGCGGACCCTGCAGCCCGCGCGTCGCCCCTGGAGCCCGCGCGCCGCCTCTGCAGCCCGTACGCGCGGCCCCTGCAGCCCGTACGAGCTGCCCTTGCAGCCAGCGCGGCGCCCCTGCAGCCCGCGCGTCCTGCCCCTGCAGCCCGCGCCCTAACGCAGCCCACGAGTCGCGCGCTGCTGCCTCGCGCGTCGCGCTCTGCTGCAGCCCGCGCGTCGCGCCCTAAGGCAGCCCGTCGCGTCGCGCTCTGCTGCCCCTCGCGTCACACACTGCTGCAGCCTGCGCCAGCGCCCTGCCCTGCGCGCGCTGGCGCCCTGCCCTGCGCCAGCGCCCTGCCCTGCGCCCGCGCCCTGCCCTGCGCCAGCGCCCTGCCCTGCGCCAGCGCCCTGCTATACCCTAAATAAAATTAAATTGTTTATTAAAAAAAAAAAAAAAAAAAAGGACCCTAGGTGCTTCTGCCCTAGGAGCTACTGCCTACTACTGCCCTGCTGTGGCCGCGCGCCACCCTGCTCTGGCCGCACGCCGCCCTGCTGCTGTTACTACTGCTGCTGCTGCTACTCGTGCTACTGGGAGTGGAGGAGGTGCTGCTGGGAGTGCAGGAGGTGCTGCTGGCGCTGTAGGAGCTGGAGGTGCTGGACCTACTCCTGACCGTCACTGTCTGTCATGGCCACTTCCGCGGCAGTTGCTGCGGCCAGGGGTGGACAGCAGCGGGCACTGCTTCTCCCGGACGACCCCACCCCTCGGCAGCTTCGTGAGTGGGTTATTAAGCGAGGTCGTCCTGGTGGTGGAGGTTATCGTTCTGTTAGGACTGCTGCTCTTGGTGTTAGTGAGTCTGCTGCCGCTCCAGGTGCTAGTGAGTCTGCTGCAGCTCTAGGTGCCCGTGAGTCTACCGACGCTCTAGGTGCTAGTGCGTCTGCTACCACAGGTCCTGCCTCAGCTGAGGTCTTGCACACTTTCACGCTTGACTCAGGCGCGTCACGTTGCTTCTTCCGTGATTGCACCACAGTCACACCACTCACAGCACCTGTCCCAGTCTCACTGGCTGACCCCTCTGGGGGCCCAGTGGTTGCGAGAGCCTCCACGGTCCTCCCTTGTCCAGCAGTCCCCTCCAGTTTTTTGTCAGGTCTCCACCTCCCCACGTTCTTGACGAACTTGGTGAGCAACGCTGCCATTCAGGATGTCTGGGTTAATACCTTTATTCCTGGAGGGCAGCGTGTGGCGATCTGTACGTGCTCCCGGACTGGCCGTCACCTGGCTACGTTCACTCGACAGCCTGGGTCTAGTCTGTACACATTGACCACTGCGTCTGCACAGGTGGCTGAGTCAGGTCAGGTGGCTGCGTCGAGTCGGGCGTCTGCGTCGGGGCAGTTAGCTGCGTCTTGCTCGTGCAGTGTACACGCACGAGACTCAGCGCTGGCACCACCGTCTTGGTCACCCCTCCCTGCAGCGTCTACGCAGTATGCACTCCCGTCTCCTTGTCTCTGGCCTCCCCAGGACCCTGCCCCCCCTGCCGCGCTCGCTTGCCCCGCCGTGCCTTCCTTGCGTCGAGGGGCGGCGGCGCGTGTCTCTGGCCCCGTGTCTCTGCTCCAGAGACCTCGCCCACACTCCGTTGGACGGGACAGCCTGGTGATGCGTCGTCGTTTCGGGTCTGGGGCGCGCTCTCCCTTGTTCGCGATACCAAAGCGAGCAAGCTCTCTCCTCGCACTCTCCGCTGTGTCTTCCTGGGCTTCCCCACCGACGCTCCACCCTGGCAGTTCTACCACCCTGCCTCGCGTCGTGTTCTGTCCTCTCAGGACGTCACCTTCGACGAGTCGGTCTGTTACTACCGACTTCACCCGCACGCGTCCCACCCGGTCCCCCTTGCACCCCTCTTCCTGGTACCAGTCCCCCCCCCGGTAGACCCCCTCCCCCCACAGGGTCCTGCTCCCTCAGGTGTGTCCCAGGTAGACCCACCCCCCTTGGATGAGCCAGTTGAGATCTCTTCTGACTCCTCTGACTCACCTGAGGGGGGTGACGCCGTCGCCGACGACACGGCGACCACTCGCCACACTCCTCGCTTGGCGACCCCCCCGGGTTTCCTGCCACGACCGTCTTCGCCGCCTCCGCAACCTGCTGCTGTGGACTCTGGAGCTGAGACTACTGGAGCTGGGGCTGGGGGTGGTGAGTCTGGGGGTGCCCGCTCTCCTCGTCTGGCTACCCCCCCCGGGTTCCCACCTCTGCCGTCTTCGCCGCCTCTGCAGCCTACTGCTGTGGACACTGGAGCAGAGACTGAGGGTGCTGAGCCTGAGCGTGCTGGGACTGAGGGTACTGAGCCTGAGTGTGCTGGGACTGAGGGTGCTGGGACTGAGGGTGCTGAGACTGAGGGTGCTGGGACTGAGGGTGCTGAGCCTGAGGGTGCTGGGACTGAGGGTACTGAGACTTTGGGTGCTGACTCTGGGGGTGCTGAGACTTCGGGTGCTGACTCTGGGGGTGCTGCGAGTCCTTCTGGAGGTCCTGGAGCTGGAGGTACTGGAGCTACTAGGCCTGAAGGTCCTACTGGAGGTACTAGAGGTACTACTGGTGCTGGAGGTACTGGAGCTGCTGCTGGTGCTGGAGGTGCTGGAGCTGGAGGTACTAGAGGTGCTTCTGGTGCTGGAGGTGCTAGAGCTACCACTACTAAAGGTACTGGAGCTGGACAGCCACCGCAGCCTGCTCTACTTGAGACGCTCTCGCCGCAGGCGATTCGTGCGTGGGTCGTTCTGCGAGGCAGTCCTGGTGGTGGAGGGTACGGTCCTGTTGGTGCTGGAGCTACTAGTTCAGGAGGTGCTGCTGGTGCTGGAAGTGCTGGAGGTACTACTGGAGGTACTAGAGGTGCTGCTGGTGCAGGAGGTACTGGAGCTGCTGGTGCTGGGGGTACTGGAGCTGCTGCCGGTGCTGGAGGTACTGGAGCTGGTGGCACTGGAGGTGCTGGTGCTCCTGGTGCTGGAGCTGCGGGAGCTGCTGACCCTGGAGGTGCTGGTACTGCTGGTGCTGGAGGCGTTGGAGCTGGAGGTACTGGAGGTGCTGGAGCTACTGGTCCCGGAGGAGCTCGTACTGGAGGTGCTCGAGCTGCTGGAGCAGGTGGTACTGCTGGTGCTGGAGGTGCTACTGGAGCTGCTGGCACAAGAGGTACTGGAGGTACTACTGGTGCTGGAGGCGCTGGAGCTGGAGCTGGAGGCACTGGAGGTGCTGGAGGTACTACTGGTGCTCGAGGTGCTGGCGCTGTCGGAGCTCGTGGTGCTGGAGGTGCTGGTGCTACTGGTGCTGGAGGTGTTGCTGGGGGTACTGGAGGAGCTGCTCGTGCTGGAGGTACTGGAGCTACTGGTGCTCTTCGCCACCTTCTCAGTCTTCCGCCAGGTGCTACTGGCTTCCCTGTGGCAGGTACTACTCCTCCGTTGCTGTGTCCGCCAGCGGACCAGTCACAGCCACCGCTGCTACCACACTCCCCACTGCCTGCTCCTGCTCCTTACACTGCGGTGTCAGAGTCCCTGACTGAGCGTCGAGAGCCTGAGACTCGTGCTTCCACCCCTGAGCGTCGAGAGCCTGAGTCTAGCTTTGACCTTGAGCCTGAGCCTAGAGCTGCTGTCCGTGCTCGTGTTCCTCGTGTTCGTCGTCCGCGTGCTCCGGCTGTCCCCAGCACTCACGATATGACACTCCGTCCTTCCTTTGTTCCTCAGCGTGTTGTACTACCGTTACCTCCTGCGTCCTCTCTGCCTGACGTTGCTGACCCTCCGTCTGACCTTGCTCGTGCGTCCAGTCCGACTGTTACTCGCCTTCTTGCTACGGTTGTGACGGACCCTACGTTCTCGTCTCCTGCTGCGTCTGCCCTAGTAGCTGAGCTTGTTGACTTTGCTGCTGTGTACCGCCTAGACTACCTTGCGAGTCTTGTCTCTGACCCTGTCCCTGCCTGTCCTCCGTCCGTCGGGGGTGAGACTGCTCTTGGCTGTACTGCCCTTGGCTGTGACGTTCTTGAGGACAGACAGGAGGAGCTGGAGTGCCTTGCTGCCGCTTCACCCCATCACGCGACCATGCTGCTTGCCCCTGAGGGAGACCCGGATGCACTTGACATCCCCACCCCGCGCTCCTAAAGGGAGGCGATTTCGGGTGAGTACTCCTCTCAGTGGCAGACAGCCATGGACGCAGAGATGGCTTCCTGGAAGTCCACAGGCACCTACGTCGACGAGGTTCCCCCACCTGGGGCGAACATCGTCAGTGGCATGTGGATTTTCAGGGTGAAGCGGCCGCCGGGTTCTCCGCCTGCCTTCAAGGCACGTTACGTTGCTCGAGGCTTCAGTCAGCGTGAGGGGGTCGACTTCTTTCAGACCTTCTCCCCCACCCCGAAGATGACCACTCTTCGGGTGTTGCTACACGTTGCAGCTCAGCGTGACTACGAACTGCACTCCCTCGACTTCTCGACAGCTTTCTTGCAGGGTAGCCTTCACGAGGCCATCTGGTTGCGCCGTCCACAGGGCTTCACTGGGTCGTTTCCTGAGGGTACCCAGTGGAGCCTACGGCGACCAGTGTACGGCCTGCGTCAGGCGCCCCGTGAGTGGCACGACACACTGAGGACGACACTTGCGGCTCTTGGGTTTGCTCCTTCGACTGCTGACCGGTCGCTGTTTCTACGCACCGACACTACTCTGCCGCCGTTCTACATCCTCGTGTACGTCGACGACTTGGTTTTTGCTACTGCTGACACTGAGGCACTGGCCCTAGTGAAGGCAGAGCTGCAGGAGAGACACACCTGCACTGACCTGGGTGAGCTGCGGAGCTATCTTGGCTTGCAGATCACCCGGGACAGACCACGGCGCACCATCACCCTCACTCAGTCACACATGGTGCACCAGGTCTTTCAGCGCTTCCGCTTCACTTGGTCCTCGCCACAGCCCACTCCTCTGTCGACCGGCCACTCGCTCTCAGCTCCACCTTCGGACGAGTCCGTAGAGCCGAGTGGTCCGTACCCAGAGCTTGTGGGTTGCCTCATGTACCTGATGACGTGCACACGACCTGACCTCGCGTACCCTCTCAGCCTCCTGGCTCGCTACGTGGCACCTGGTAGACACCGAAAGGTGCACTTTGATGCTGCGAAGAGGGTACTGCGTTACTTGTGCAGCACATCGGGCATGGGGCTCGTGCTTGGAGGACGGGGTTCGGTGGTCCTCACAGGACACTCTGACGCTTCTTGGGCCGACGACCAGACGACTCAGCGTTCGTCACAGGGTTACACCTTCAGTCTTGGCTCTGGTTCTGTCTCGTGGAGGTCCACTCGTTCTTCTTCTGTGCTTGGTTCCAGCTGTGAGGCCGAGATCTACGCTGGGGCCATGGCTGCACAGGAGCTACGCTGGCTGACCTACCTGCTGACCGACTTGGGGGAGCGGCCTCGTTCTCCTCCAGTTCTGTACGTCGACAACAAGGCAATGCGTGCCTTGTGTCGCGAGCAGAGACTGGAGCACAGAACGAAGCACATTGGTCTTCGCTACTTCCTTGCGCGTGAGCTGCAGCAGCGTGGTCAGCTGCGCCTTGCTTACGTGGCCTCTCGGGCCAACACTGCTGATGTCTTCACCAAGGCCCTTGGGGCTGGTGATCATCACCGTTTCTGCACTGCTCTTGGGCTTGTGCCCACTCTGCCTCACCTGTTGGTTGCTTGACTTGCTCTTGTTGTACACTGCTATATATCTTTATACCTGCATGTTTTCTCTTGCTCGGTTGTGATCAGTGTACTGCCTTGCTATTATGTACCTCTGCATGTGAACTGGCCTTGTGGCCACTTGCTTGTGCTCAGAATGCGTGGTGACTTTGTGATCCACCCTGAGCTGTGTTCTCTTCTGCAGACTGGTCTTGTGACCGCTTGTTGTGTTTGCTGTCCCCTACTTTGCCTATGGGGGTGTGTCAGATTACAATTGTATCTCCTTAGTGAGTACAACACTTTAGGGTTAGCTTTCCCCTACTTGTACTCACCTCTTGCCTAGTTCAATCCATCATTCCTAGTTCTATTCTTGACAACAACAGCTCATGAAACTACATCCTACTAGTTTTTTTAACAAGCACTATGAAGCCCCTTCCATCACAACGACATACAAAACTAACCCCCTCCCAGATTATGGTAGACACAAAACACACGAGCCATGCTGCTATGCTATGGCATGCCCCAAGCAGCCCTTCAGGAATCATGAAAAAAACCCATGAATTACCGGTAGCACATACGATACAACCAAAACTTGAGTCCCCCTAGCCACACACGCACTTGAAAGAACGCCAGCAGCAAGTCACAGAGCTTCGTATAGCAGCTTTCACGAGAGAAAGGCTTGTGAAAAAACAACCGTGGCTGACTTGCTGTCCCTTGTGGGCACCGTACACACTTGAACCGTGAAACCTCCGTTTCAATGCTTCAGGATGGGATAAGATGGGATTGGATAGCTTCAGTGCTTCACGTCACTAGCATGCCTCATAGAATAGCACTTGCGGCTGTAGGCGGCCCCTGATGCATGAGCTCACCACATCCGCCCAGCCCCCAACCACCTGCAGGGAGGTCGCACAACAGAGAAGAGAACAGTTTTGGAGAACTCTCAAAAGCAGCTCCAACGTCTCACTCCATGTGATCTCACTCCACCTCATCTCACTCCACCTCATCTCCTCCACCTCGTCTCCCTCCTTCCATCCACCTCATCCCCCTCCCCCTTTTCTCACCTTGACGGTGGTGTCGTCGAACATGACCCACTTGCCCAGGTCCGCATGGAAGGAATAACGAACAGCAATCAACACACACATGCCCTCGTGCCCCTTCGCCACCTCTCTCCACCTCTCTCCACCTGTCTCCACCTGTCTCCACCTGTCTCCACCTGTCTCCACCTCTCTTCACCTCCCCTCTTCTCACCTTGACAGTGGTATCGTCGAACATGACCCACTTGCCCAGGTCCGCATGGAAGGAGAAGCAGTGGTAGTGCCGCCCGTAGTAGCACACCACACACACCACACGCACCCTCTGCGGGCCCGGCAGCCCCCGGTACACCACTCCCACGTCCAACTGCACGTCCAGAGCTCCTAGAGTCAAGCCGATATCCTCCGCTTCCTCCCTGTCGCTCTGCCACCCCAGAACTGCGAATGAGGCAACACACACAAGGGGAAAGAACGGAAGGAAAGGAGTCAAGATAGCACCCACCACACACACCACCCGCACCCTCTGCGGCCCCGGCAGTCCCTGATACACCACTCCCACGTCCATCTGCACGTCCAGAGCTCCCAACGTTAGCCCTATGTCCTCCGCTTCCTCCCTGTCGCTCTGCCACCCCAGATATGAGAACGGGGAACCAAACAGCGGGAAGGAAAAGGACACGCAAGAAGGGCTTCAAGTCAGCCCCCAGTGCAGCACACCCTTGGGTGTGCTTTGATAGTTCTCAATCCACGTGTTTAGAGATTTCTCATAAACACGTGGACTGAGAACTCTTCTAAAGAAATTTCTCAAGACCATTCTTCTGAAAATTCATGTCGAGAAAAACAAGACCCTTCGAATTCAGGCCACCAAAGCCCCCACCCCTTCCCACCTGCACGCCCTACCCAACCACCAGTGGCAATCGCAACACTTGACACACTAGTGGTGAAGATGGGTGGAGAGCGGCACATGACGTGCTGAATGGCGTTGGCGTGTGCACAGCCCCCCATGCACCCCCCCACGCACCCCCTCACCAGGGTTGGGAAAGCCAATGAACCCACCAGTGGTGAAGATGGGTGGGGCGCGGCGCAGAACATGTTGAATGGCGTTGGGGTGCCCACATCCCCCCACCTCCACATCGCACGGCAGCAGGTGGTGCTGCTCCATGCCCGCCAATAGCTCATCCATTCGACACGTGGGGTTACCCAGCTGTGGGAAGGAGTTGGGTGCGGTGAAGGAGGGGTTGGGTGCGGTAAGGGGGGAGTCACGAGGGCAAGGGAGGAGGGGGGCAGCACCCCCCACGTCCACGCCGCATGGCAGAAGGTGGTGCTGCACCATGCCCGCTAGGACTGCAGCTCGTGCATGCTGCAGGTAGGATTGCCGAACTGTGGGGAGGAGTTGAGACGGGTGAGAGGAGTTGAAAGGGGTGCAGGAGGAGTTGAGAGGGGTGGGGGCACGTAGGAGCATCTCTTGCTGCTTTCACTGCATCTCCCTGTTTCCATTCCATCTCATTCTGCTTCGCTCACCTTGGAGAGCCGGAGAGCAGTGGCATTAGCGTGGTGGAAGAAGGAGGAGTGGCGCATCTGGCGGGTCTTGAGAGCAATGCACAAATATAGCAGCCCACACACACATATTCGCACCCAGTGCCCCTTAGACACACACCTTGGAGAGCCGGAGAGCAGTGGCATTAGCGTGGTGGAAGAAGGAGGAGTGGCGCATCTGGCGGGTCTTGAGCGGCATGCATGCACGGTCCTAGCGGCCTAGACACGTGCCCACATACTCGCACCCACACACTCACCTTCGACAGTCTAAGGGCAGTGGCGTTGGCGTGGTGGAAGAAGGAGGAGTGGCGCATCTGGCGGGTCTTGAGCGACATGCATGCACGGTCCTAGCGGCCTAGACACGTGCCCACATACTCGCACCCACACACTCACCTTGGACAGTCTAAGGGCAGTGGCGTTGGCGTGGTGGAAGAAGGAGGAGTGGCGCATCTGGCGGGTCTTGAGCGACATGCATGCACGGTCCTAGCGGCCTAGACATGTGCCCACATACTCGCACCCACACACTCACCTTGGACAGTCTAAGGGCAGTGGCGTTGGCGTGGTGGAAGAAGGAGGAGTGGCGCATCTGGCGGGTCTTGAGCGACATGCATGCACGGTCCTAGCGGCCTAGACACGTGCCCACATACTCGCACCCACACACTCACCTTGGACAGTCTAAGGGCAGTGGCGTTGGCGTGGTGGAAGAAGGAGGAGTAGCGCATCTGGCGGGACTGCAGCCCGCAGCGAGAGCAGCGCATAATTTCAGTCACATCCAGCCCAAACAACCCGTGCGCTATGCACGCCGCTGCTGCCGCCTCCCCTGCCACCTCTGCTGCTGCAGCTGCACCTGCTTCCCCTCCTGCTCCTGCTCCTGCTCCTGCTCCTCCTGCTCCTCTTGCTCCTACTCCTGTTGCTACACTGTCCCCTATTCTACTTCCTGATCCTAACCCCCCACCAGATTTCCTAGCATTCCCAGCCGCAGCAGCGGCAGAAGCTGCAGCAGTGTTGGCTCCGCCCTTCCCTCTGGCAACAACTGCACCATAGGAGAGGGGAGAAGCAGACACAGCAGCAGCCCCACTCCCCGAGGCTGTCCCCGAGCCTGCTGCCGGGCCTACATCGTGTCTCTGCCCTGGAGCTGTAGTCTGGTTCGGCACAGACCCAACACCCAGGGCTGAGCTGTCTGCCGAAGCTGCAAGGTAGGCTCGGTCCCAAGCTGCTGTTGAGGCCGGGCAGTCCCAGCTTCCTGCCTGCTTCTGATTGGCTGCACTGCTGCCCGGGTCAATAAAAGAATCATCTGTCGAGAAGTTGACAGCTGTGGCTTTGACACTGGAAGCTCCTTCTGATGCCGAACCAGCTGCCCCGCCTGCAGGTTCGGAGGCAGGTTCGGTGAAGGCTCGGTGGAGACAGTCGAAGATGACTGGGAGAACCTCTGAGGCATCATTCATCTGAGACTGAAATGGGAAGGGGAGGGGAGGGGCGAATGGGGCGGTAGAAACATATTTTGAGGTGCCTCAAAGACAGTCGAAGATGACTGGGAGAACCTCTGAGGCATCATTCATCTGAGACTGGAGGAGGGGGAAGGCGGGAGAATGGGGCAGCAAAAAAAAAAAAAAAAAAAAAAAATGGTACAGGAGCAGGCGTTACTCAAGTCAACCAAGTGAAAAGGCATGGCACGCAGTGTCTCTCTTAACCTGTGAGCATAATCGCTAAAAAGGCAACAACAAGGTTTTGAAAATACCTGTTGGAAGAACTCCGAGTCAGCAAACATGGCGCTAAGTGCCACTCTTAGTGCTGTGGGCGCCACTACAGTGCGAACAGAGGGGCCCGCCCCTCCCCCTGCTGCTGGCGCCGCTGCCACCACTGCCACCCCTGCTGCTGCTGCCGCCGCCGCTGCCGCTGCCGCAGCTGCTGCTGCAGATGAAGCGGGCTCTGAAGGTGTAACCCCAGCTGTAATCGCGTCGTTACCAGAAGGAACAGCCTCTGTTACACTACTAGCAGCTGTGCTGGTAACCGCGTTGGTAACCGTGTTGGTAACCGCCGCACTGGTGGCTGTGCTAGTGTGTGCACTCCTGGCCCCACCGCGCTCTGCCAGAGCAGTGGCATAACTGCTGTGTGTGGAGGGCTGTGCCTGTGCCTGTGCCTGTGTTGGGGATTGTGGCTGTGCCTGTGGTTGTGAATTGATCTGTTGCATCCCACTGCTGCTGCTATGAGCCTGCTGCTGCGACGCCCAGGTATTGCTCTGCTGTGTCCTCTTGCTCCTTTTGCTGGCTGACGCACTCTCAGCCCCCGACAACGAATCGCCTTCTAGAGGGGATGAGCCTGCTGCAGCGCTGCCACTATCGCTGAAACTGCTGGTGGTGGTGTTGCTCAGTACAGGGAAATCGGAGGAGCTGAGAGGAGGGAAAGCGGCAGCGTCGGCAGCAGAAACAGCAGAGCCAGCAGCTTGGGAAACTTGCTCCCTGGACGATCCCACTGCTGCTGTTGCTGCTCCTGCTGATGGGGATGAAACATGTGCAGCTGCAGCACCGGCAGCAGAAGAAGATGAAGCAGAAGGAGCAGCAACGGAGGCGGCAAAAGGAACAATGGCAGTTGAGAGCGCGGAGCTGCTGTTAGTGGTGGCGATGGTGGTGGCGGTGGTAGCTCCAATGGGAGTATTGGTAGTGGCAGCAGTGGCAGCAGAAGAGTTGCTGCTGCTGGTGGCGGTGCTGGTGGTGTTGAGAGCCAGGAAGATGTCTCTGAGAGCGCAGACCACGCAGGGATCGCCCTGGTGGGTGTGCTGCTGACATGACGGGTACAGCAACCTCTCCCGGAACCTGCGTAAGTGCCAGAGGGACTGGGGGGGTTTGGGAACCAGAGGGGGAAAAGGGGGTATTTATCAGAAGGGTTGACAGTGCTGGCTGTGATGGTGGCAGTGCTGGTGGTGTTGAGAGCCAGGAAGATGTCTCTGAGAGCGCAGACGACACAGGGATCGCCCTGATGGCTGTGTTGTTGACACGATGGGTGCAGCAGCCTCTCCCTGAACCTTCGCAAGTGCCACAGGGACTGGGGGGTTTGGGATGGGGGAAAAAGATGGGGAGAGACAGAGAGGGTGGAAAGGAGTGTTTATCATTAGGGTTTGAACTTGGCAGTGCTCTCTGATGGCTGTGCTGCTGGCATGACGGGTGCAACAGCCGCTCCCTGAACCTGCGCAAGTGCCAGAGGGACTGGGGGGTTTGGGAACCAGTGGGACGAAACATGCGGAAGAACATACGGGAAACAAAGGGATATTAATTAGTTGATGGTGCCGGCATTGCTGCCCGTGCTGCTGGTGGAGTTGAGAGCAAGGAGGTGTCCTCTTGAGAAGTCTCAAAAGAATTCTCAAAAGTACCATCAACGTTGCTCGTGCTGCTGGTGGAGTTGAGAGCAAGGAGGTGTCCAGATTTGGGACGTAACAAACACACCCAAACAGCAGTCACTCCTCCCGCAAGCAACACAACAGTCCCTCCGCACCTGAATAATGACATTGAGGAAGCAGTTATACTCCCCAATCTCATTCCGAAGCCCCACCAGCCCCTCGAATTCGTCATCAGAACAACAACCAACCATTTTTCCCCCAATTAACAACCAGTCCGCACCTGAATGATGACATTAAGGAAGCAGTTATACTCCCCGATCTCATTCCGAAGCCCCACCAGCCCCTCCTCTCCTCCCGCTCCACTCCACACCATCTCCACCGCCCCTCCTCCCCCCCGCAACAACCAATTTGTACGTACCTGAATAATGACATTGAGGAAGCAGTTATACTCCCCAATCTCGTTCCGCAACCCCACCAACCCCTCCTCCCCTCCCGCTCCACTCCACACCATCTCCACCACCCCTCCTCCCCCTCCACCCCCCCTCACATCCACCTCCATGCCCCCCTCCACTCCCCCTCCCTCTCTCGACTCCCCACTCTCCTCTCGTAGCGTCAGCGCCACGCTGGCATCCCAGTCTGCTGACGTGGCAGGCGCTGCTGCCAGGCTGTCGGAGATTCTTTCTGAGCTGGCGGGGTTTAGGGCTGCTTCTGATTGGTGCTTGGGGGGTTGCCGGGCGGCAGAGTGGTAGTAGTGGGAGTGAGATGAACGCTCCAGATCCTCTGTTGGGGCCAGTGAGGGAGGAACAATGGGTGGGAGAGACTTTGAGTCAGTGAGGAACAAAAGCCACCTCGTGAGATGAACGCTCCAGATCCTCTGTTGAGGGCAGTGAGGGAGGAAGAAGGGGCAGGGAAAAATGTACGGAGCAGGGACAAAAACTCAGGTGAATACTCAGGCTTTTTCAACAGATCCACCAGCGGCAGGACTAGAAGCAACGGCTCTGCCACACTCACCTATGCCCTGCACCCACGTATACCCTTCTGCACCCACCTATACTTTGCTGCACCCACCTATACTCTGCTGCACCCACCTATACTCTGCTGCACCCACCTGTACTCTGCGGCACCTACCTATACCCCTCTGCACCCACCTATACTCTGCTGCATGGCTCGTTGCAGGTCTGCTTGAAACTGCTCATCCTCCTCCTCGTGATCCACAGCAGCACTCCTACCTTCAACCTCCGTTCCCTCCATTCCCACCACTCCCGCCATTACTCCCCCCTCTCCTCCTTCCTCCCCTCCCTCCTCTCCTCCCACCACTCGTCCTTCCTCTCCTCCCTCTCTTCCACCCTCCATTCCTTCCCCCATCAGCCCTTCACTACCCCCTACCTGCTCCATCACTCCCTCATTCCCCTCCTTCCTTTCCCCCATCATTACCGCCCCCTCACTCCCTCCCCTCCCTTCTTCCCACACCATCTCCCCACCTCCTGTTCTTTGCATATCCACCACCGCCGCTTCCCTTCCTCCCGCATCCCCAGCTGACACACCTGCATGGGCATCCTGAGAATTCTCATAATAACCCACTGCCCCTCCTGCTGCTCCCCTCCCTGCTACCGCCCCTACTCCTGCCGCCACTCCTGCCCCTCCTCTTCCCCCTGCTTCCCTAACTCCCACCTCCACCATTCCACGTGCATCCATCCCCATCACAGGGCCTCCCGTCTGTTGACTCTCTCCCATCTGTTGCGGTGTTTCCATATGTTGTGGTGTTTCCATCAGTTGAGGCGTTTGAGAAGCTCCCATTGATTGGGTCGTGTCCAGTTGATGACCGGGAATGGGAGCCACACGCGTGTGGAAAGGGGGCGCCTGCAGCCCTTGCGGAGGCTGCATGCTTTGCGCGTGGGCCATTTGCAATTGTACCCCGTGCGGCTGCTGGGCCATTTGCAATTGTACCCCGTGCGGCTGCTGGGCCATTTGCGATTGTACCCCATGGGATTGTACCCCGTGCGGCTGCTGGGCCATCTGCGATTGTACCCCATGGGATTGTACCCCGTGCGGCTGCTGGGCCATCTGCGATTGTACCCCGTGCGATGGCTGGGCCATCTGCAAATGCACCCCATGAGGCTGTGCCATTTGGGAGTGCATCGCATGAGCCTGAGGCTGCAAACCCAGCTGCTGCTGCTGCTGCTGCTGCTGCTGCTGAGTGTGATACCCCACAGCCAGCCCTGGAGACCCAGCAGCATGGCCATGCTGGGGAGGCGAGGGAGCAAGCGGGTATGAGTGGGCGGATGGGATGGCATGTGGGTGGGGTTGGGATGTAAACGGATAGGGTTGGGACGAGTAAGGGTGAGAGGGCGGGGGCGTGGGGTTGGGGGGTGGGGATGGGCCGTGGTGTAGGGGATGGGTTGGGTGGGATAGGTGGGCGAGGTGGGTATGGTGCATGGTTGTTTGCGCTTGCGCTTGCGCTTGCGCTTGTTGCTGCGCCTGCCCCTGCTGCCCCTGCCCCTGTCCCTGCCCCTGTGTCTGCCCCTGTGCCTGCATCTGCACCTGCCCCTGTCCCTGCGCCTGCCCCTGTCCCTGTGGTGGTGGTGGCAGTGGTCGGATGTGTGGCGAGGGGAGGGGGCGGAGGAACGGCGAGGGGTACATGAGGGAGGGCATACCCCCGGGAACAAAGGGAGCAGCGTGAGAAGACAGCTTACTCGGGGATGCAAACGCTCCCGACTGCCCCACCTGCTGCTGCTGCTGCTGCTGCTGCTGTGCTGTGCCTGTCCCTCCCACCCCTCCTTGCCCTCTTTCCCCTCCTTGCCCTCCTCGTCCCCCCACTGCTACACCCAGACCACCAGCAGGAGCAGTCCCAGCAGGATACGCCATAAGCACTGCCGGATCCCCCCCTACCCCCGCTGCCCCTGCCGCCCCTGCCGCCGCCGCCGCCGCCGCCGCCGCTGCTGCTGCTGCACGTTCCGACTGCCCTGCTGCTGCACCTGCTGTCTGTGCCACCGCTCCTGAGACTGGTGCTCCTTGGAAGGAGGGATGCAGGCCTGGAGGGGCATAGAGAGGGGCTGTATGGGGACGCTGGGCATGTGAAGGTGTAGAACCGTCGCCACCAGCAGCACCAGCAGCAGCAGCACCGCCAGCACCAGGAGCACCCCCAAGAGGACCCACGCCAGACCCTCCCTGCGCCCCCATATACCCCACCGGCCCTGGAACCAGGCTCGCCAAACCAGCAGGCCCGGCGCCCGAACCTCCTGCCGAGCCTGGACCTCCCGGAGCAGCAAGAGGAGGCATGGGGGCGGGCGGAAACGGGGCAGCACCCATAGGGGCACCCATGGGAGCCGTACCCATGTGTGCGCCCATGTGCATGGGCATGGGGAGAGGGACGGGCATGGGGTATGCCATAGGCACTGGTACCAGAGGGACCGTTTGTAGGGGCATGAGTGACCCATACCCATCCCCTGCTCCCTCACCAATCCCACCAGCAGCAACGGCAGCACCAGTTCCCGCACTCCCCCCACCCACACCGCTTGTTTTGCCCATGTCCGGTGCAGCACCGCTGAGACCCGCCTGTGGTGCTGCTGCTCCGTGCTGCGGCTTACCAGTGGTGCCAGCTGCAGCGGCACTGGGAGCTGCAGCAGCAGTGGCAGCGGCTGCAGCAGCGGCAGTGCCAGCTGCGGCAGCAGAGGAAGCAGAATTGGAGAGGGAGGAGGAAGGAGGGGGGGTGACAGAGGGAGGAGAGAGGGAGGAGGGAGGGATGCCGGAAATAGCACCTGCAGCGCCTCCGGTGGTGGCAGCATTGGTGAAGGAGCCAAAGGTGATTCCAGACAGGCCAATAGGCCTACCACCACTGCTGCTGCTGCCGCTGCTGCTCTTGCTCATGCTGCTCTTGCTGCCGCTGCTGCTGCTGCTGCTGCTGCTGCTGCCGCCCCTGTCACTGAAGCTGCTGGTGCTATTGCCAGCACTCTCAAGACCGGGTTTGCTGGGTGCTGAAACGGCCTCTTTCTCTTCCTGCCGCTGCGCCTGTCCCTGTGCCTGCGCCCGTTCCTGTGCCTGTGCCTGTGCCTGCCCCTGCCCTTGCTGCTGTGCCTGTGCCTGTATCTGCTGTTGCGTTGCCCCCAAAGGCGCATACTCTTTGACCTGCCGCATCTGCCCCTGCTGCTGTTGTTGCTGCTGCTGCCGTTGCTGTTGCTGCTGCTGCTGATGCCGTTGCTGTTGCTGTTGCTGCTGCTGTTGCTGCTGCTGCTGCTGTTGCTGCTGTTGCTGTTGTTGCTGTTGCTGCTGCTGCTGCTGTAGCTGTCGCCTCCTCTCTCTAGCAGCAGACCTCGGTCCTACAGCAACCTCTACGTCCACCTCCTCAACCCTCTCCCCTCCTCCCATTCCCCCTCCCATACCTCCTCCCATACCTCCTCCCATACCTCCTCCCATACCTCCTCCCATGCCTCCTCCCATGCCTCCTCCCATGCTTCCACCCATCCCTCCACCACCCATACCTCCTCCCACACCTGGCCCCATACCTCCGCCCATCTGCCCCGGCCAAGCCCCAGCCCGACCCTGTCTTTCCTCCCCCTGTGACCCATCACCCCACCCCCCGGCATACCCCTTCCCGCCCCACCCACTAAACCCTGGAGGGTGAACCACCCCCTGTGGGGCAATTACCCCTTGATGGGCAGGGGCAGTTACCCCTTGAAAAGGCATTACCCTCTGCGGGGCAATCAGCCCTTGAGGGGGAATTACCCCTTGGTGAGCATGCCTGGAGGCTAATTCCTCCTGGGAACCAGGCAGGGGCGCAACAGGGAGAGAAGAGCTGGGAAAGCCAGGCAGTGTGCTGTGTGCAGGGGCGGAAGGCCTGGCATTTGCGCTCATGGGTAGTGCACTGACGGCATTAGGGTTCATCGGATTAGGGTTTACAGAATTAGGGTTACCAGGCCCACCACTTCTAACCACGTCTGGTGCAGCCAGCAACCCATCCTGTACCCCCCGCACTGTGCCCCCACCAACTGCCCCTCCACCAACCGTTCCCAAACCAACCGCACCCACACCAACCGCACCCACACCAACCGCCCCCACTACTCCCACCACCCCAGCAGCAGCACCCACGGCGGTTGCAGGTACCAAGGGCAGGAGCGGTGGCAACTGAGACGGGTGCTGCTGCTGCTGCTGCTGCTGCTGGGGCACCTGTTGATGCTGTTGCTGCACCTGCCCCTGTGACTGCTGCAGTGGCTGCGGCTGCTGGTGCACCTGTCCCTGTGATTGCTGTTGCTGCTGCTGTGTCTGCTGCGTCTGTCCCTGGATGCCAGTGCCCGTGCCAGTGCCAGTGCCATTGCCCGTGCCTGTGCCTGTGCCCATGCCTGTACCTGAGCTCGTGCCCGTACCCAGTGCAGCAGCAGGACCACGCGCATCTCCAGCTTCAGCTGCCCCTGTGCTTCCTTCTGAACCCTCTCCTGCTTGAAAACGTGCGCCTACCTGTGAACCCCCTCCCGCCTGCAAACCACCTCCCCCCTGCAATCCCCCCTCCAGCTGCCCTCCCATTCCGCCTGCCTTGCCCTTGCCGCCCCTCTTCCGCCTCGACCTGTTCTTGCCTCCGCCTAACCCCCCCCCTTCGCCAGACCCAGTAGCACTCCCTCCATCAGACACAGCACCGCCACTGCCCGCAGCAGCACCTGGATTTTCACCTGAAGCAGCTCTCTGCGCGAGAGGCGTTCCCAGCAGCCCAGCATTCGCAGGCGGGGTGGCAGCAGCACCCTGAATTTGACTCTGCCCTGCCCTGAACCTCTGCGACTCGCCTTGCTGATTCGGCACTTTCTGCTGCTGCAGGGATGGAGGCACAGCAACGTCTCTCCCACGGCCCTTGTGCCCCAAACGTTGGCTCGAACTCGCTATAGTGCGCACTATGCCACCTGACCGATCACCTGAGACCAATCCGGACGCTGGAATGCCGTTTGCCAATGCCCCTGCCTCCCCTAATTGAGTTCCAACCCCCACCCCCACCTGCTGCTGCTGCTGCTGCTGACTTTGTTGTTGCCGCCCATGTTGCTTTCCCTCCTGCTGCTGCTGCCCCCCCTGCTTCCGCTTCTGCTTCTGCGTTGACTCACCTGAGTCTCCTCCTACCCTCGAACCACCCTCTTCCTTCTGCCACCCACCACTCTCCACACTCCCATTCCCCATACTCACACCCCCTGCCACCTCCCTCCCGCCCCGCCCCCCACCCAGCCCCTTAGCCCGCCCTCCTGTCTGACCCACACCCACCGCGCCCCACCCTTCTTCATCCCTTCCATCAGAATCTCTTAGCCTCGTACCACTGCTACCAGCCAAACCCACTCCTGCAGAAGAAGAGTCAGCTAAAGAACCGCCAACTCGAGCCGCTTCCTGCTGTAACTGCTGGGTCTGCTGCGGCCATTGGGTTGGCTGCGATTCAAGGTTCTGTGACAACTGCTGAAACTGATGAGACGCACCTGCTGGTGTATGTGTGCTTGTGCTTGTATGCGTATGGGAATGTGTATGTAGCTGTGTGTTTGTATGCGTATGTGTATCCGCACTCGAAAGCTCCCTGGGGCCCGGTTCCCCCCATCCTGTCGCCCCTATCGCCCCTGCAGCAGCAGCAGCAGCAGCAGCAGCAGCAACACCAGCCGCACCCACAGCACCGGCACCTGCAGCAAACCCTTCCGGCCCCTGCATCACCGCCGTCTCTTGCAAAACCCCGAACCCAGAACCTCCGTTAGCCCTCTCCCAGCTCGACCCCTCACAACTCCCGTCCTCCCAATCCCCTTGCCTCCCTCTCACCATCCCGCCTTCCACCCCCCCCATCCGTACCCTCACCTCGTGCACCCCACCACTCCCACCTCCCTTTGGCTTAGCCTCCCCACCACCACCCATCAGCCTGAGCCGCTCCAATTCAGCCATTCTCTGCCGTTTCGCCGCCTCCTCTGCTTGCCTTTGGAGAGACAAAGCCCACTCCAGCTTCCTCTCCTCGTCTTCCATCTCCTGCTGCTGCCTCAGAATCTCCTGCTGCTCTCTCCGCCTCTGAGCCTCCTCCTCCTTCTCTGCCGCACTCTGTGGCACCCTCTCCCTCTCCCTTACCCTCTCCCTCTCCCTCTTCTCTCTTTTCTCTCGCTCTCCTCGTTCTCCGTCTCTCTCTCCCCCTGCCTGCCTCAAATTCTTTTCCATTTTTCCTTCTCTGCCCCCCTCCCCTTCCTCCTCGCCCTCATTCCCTCCCTCCATGTCCTTATCCCCAAGCTGACTACTGCTCCCTGTCTCTCTTCCTTCGCCCTCCCCTCCTCCCTCCGCTCCTGCCACCCTACCAGTACTCTCCCCTCCTCCTCCTCCTCCTGTTACTCCTCCCCCTGCGCCTCCTCCCCCACCACCACCCTTCCCACTCTTGGCACGCTCCTTGCCCTTCTTTTTCTCCCGGTTTTTTTCCACCTGCCCCTGCTTGTCCAGCTCAGCAAGGAACGCCTCTTGGGCAGCGTCGGAACGTTTTTGTGCATCCTGCTCCGCTGCTTGCTCCAGGCGATTCTGGAAACAAGAATGATAACAACAAGAGAATGCGCACGCAACGCAAGGCGTAAACCAGCACATTTGAGGCGCCTCAAAATTCCTGCTCCGCTGCTTGCTCGAGGCGAGTCTGGAAACAAGAACGATAATAAAAAACACAATGTCCATGTAAAATATAAACCAGCACATCAGGTCAAAACCAAAAAAAAATCACACGTGCAGAGTGCCTTGACATAAGAGTTTTGAGGCGACTTTTGAGTCGACTAAATAAAATCACACGTGCAGATTGCCTTGACATAAGAACAGCAAAACTTCAGACGAGCCTTTTGAGGTGTCTCAAGGAAAAAAAAAAAAAAAAAAAAAAAACAGGATCGGAGCACCAATTACTCACCATACCTGTCAGCACCATGTATAGCCCACCTGCAGGAAGGTCTTGACGATGGGCAGCATGGCGGCACGGTAGTCAAAGACAGACGCCTGGTGGAGTTTCGCATTGGCACAAGGCAGTGAGCAAGCATGCTGCACTGCACGCACACACCTGGTAGCACCACGCATACCTGCAGGAAGGTCTTGACGATGGGCAGCATGGCAGCGCGGTAGTCAAACACAGACGCCTGGTGGAGTTTCGCGTTGGCCTTCTGCACCGCCTCCAGGTGGCACAGGATCCTCTCCTCCGCTTGCTCCTTCTGCTCAATGGTGTGGTGAGGAAGGGGGTGGAGTGGTGTGGGAAGGGGTGGAGTGGTGTGGGAAGGGGTGGAGTGGTTGTGGAGCTTGGCGTTTGACTTCTGCACCGCTTCCAGATGGCACAGGATCCTCTCCTCCGCCTGCTCCTTCTGCCCGAAACAGATCCGGGTGGAGGAAGAGGGCACGGAAGATGGAGGTGCAAGCAGGGTTCACAGCCCATCACACACACCCTCTCCCTCTCTCACACACACATTCCAAGCTCCACACGAATGCTAAACCCCTCACTACTGTCCATCCCTCTGAGATTCCGGGGTCAAATGCTAAACCCTCCCACATTCCAGGGTCAAACGCTAAAACCCTCCCACACTAAACCCCTCTTATAGCCAAACCCCACCTCTGTCAGAATGCTGCTCCTGTGGCTCCGAATCGCGCCCTCCATGCACACGTCTGCAACAATACCTCTCCATCAGTCCATTCCCCACCTCCCCTACCCCCAATTCTGAACTCAACAGTCAAACCCCACCTGCTGCCTATCCCTCTCCCCTTAAACCCTACCTCCGCCAGAATGCTGCTCCTGTGGCTCCGAATCGCGCCCTCCATGCGCAGGTCCAGCTGGGCGGCAAACTCCGGCCCGCGCCAGCTGTCGTGCTCGTCCTCATCCGAGTCAGTGCCGCCCAGGTGGGAGGGCGTGAGGGAGAGCAGATCGCCACACGGCATGCGAGGCTGAGGGGGAATGGGGAGAGAAGGGGGAGCGGAAGAGGGAGGGGGCGGGGGAGGGGAAGAATGATTGGGGGGGTTGTTTGGTGCCGGGTGGGGAAGAGAATGTGCCGGCCAGATGGGAGGGCGTGAGGGAGAGCAGATCGCCACACGGCATGCGATGCTGAGGGGGTAGGGGGAGGGAAGGGGGAGCGGAAGAGGGAGGGGGCGGGGGAGGGGGAGAATGATTGGGGGGGGTTGGTTGGTGCGGGGGAGGAAGAGAGAATGTGCCGTTCGGATGCGAGGGCGTGAGGGAGAGCAGATCGCCACACGGCATGCGAGGCTGAGGGGGAATGGGGAGAGAAGGGGGAGCGGAAGAGGGAGGGGGCGGGGGAGGGGAAGAATGGTTGGGGGGGTTGGTTGGTGCGGGGGGGGGGAAGAGAGAATGTGCCGCCCAGATGCGAGGGCGCGAGGGAGAGCAGATGGCCACACGGCATGCGCGGCTGAGGGAGGTGGGGGAGGAAGGGGTGACTTCTGAGTCGACTCAAAAGTCACACGGCATGCGAGGCTGAGGGAGGTGGGGGAGGAAGGGGGCGGGTGGTGTTGGAAGGGGAGGGGAAGAGTGATTGTGGGGTTGGGGGGGGGGGAAGAGAGAATGTGCCCCACAGATGGGAGGGCGCGAGGGAGAGCAGATCGCCACACAGCACGCGCGGCTGACGAGAAGCAGGGGTGCGCGAAGAGAGGGGAGGAGGGGAGTAGCGAGAGGAGGAGAAAAGAGGAGAGAAACAAATTATCTCCCAGGTACAACTCTCGCAAAGACCTCATAGAAAGACAGGACTCTCACCTCACTGAACAGCGCCGTCTGGTAATCACTCAACACGCTTTTGATGCCTCTCAACTCAACTCAATGTCTCTCACAGTCTCACCTCACTGAACAGCGCCGTCTGGTAATCACTGAGCACGCTTCGAGTTGACTATATACAAGAAAGTGCAGCCTTGCCTCTCACTCACCTCACTGAACAGAGCCGTCTGGTAATCACTGAGCACGCTGCGAATGACACTTGTCTCAATCTTATTCGCCCGCAGCCTCCTCTCCGTCCACACCTTCCGCTTTGCCTGCTTCGTCTCCCCCTCCTCTTTCCCCTTCTGCCCCTCCTCCTTCCCCTCCTCCTTCCCCTCTTCCTCGCCCTCCTTCCCTTCCTCCTTTTCCCCTTCCTTTACCTCCTTCTCCTTCCCCTCCCCTTCCCCTTCCTCCTTTTTCCCTCCCACCTCTTCGCCTACCACATCCTTCCCTTTCAACCCATCCGCCCCTTTCTCGCCCTCACCCCCCCCTTCCTTTGAGCCCTCTCTCAACTCACTCCCTGCGTCTACCCCTCCCTTCTCACCCCCCTCACTCCCGTCATCCGCCTCACCTTCTTTCGCCCCCACTTCAGCGTCCCTCCTCTCTCCCCCTCTCTTCCTCTCCCCACCACCCAGCAAAGCCGTCCCCTCATCAACATCCTCCTCATCTCCGCTCTTCTCCACCTCCTCCTCCTTATCCCCCTCCTCACCACCCTCCTTACCCCCCTCCTCTCTTTTCTCCGCGCCCCCACCTCCCTTTCCGCCCTTCCCCCGCCCTTCCTCCGCCGCCCTTGCCTCCTCATCCGCAATCCCCCTCAATGCCTCCTCTTCCGCCTCTGCAAGCTCCGCCATCCTCCTTTTAAGCACACTCGCAAACCGTTTAACGTACCCCGGGTCCCTCTCCCTCCGCCTCCTCTCCTTCTCAAACAACCTCTCCATCTTCCTCAGCTTTCGCTCCGCGATCCCCAGCTCTATCCTTCTATCGCATTGTGACTTTAACGAGTTGTACTCCGTGTCTAGCCCCTCCATCACCTCTCGGGCCTTCTCCAGGCCCTCTTTATAAGCACACCGCCACGCTGGCGCCGCCATCTCATAATCCATTCGCCCGAAGATCCATGCGAGCTGCAGATCGTCATGCTTGGGCACGTCAGCAGCACCACCAGTCGCACCACCAGCACCAGCAGCAGCAGCAGCAACCCCATTACCCCCACCCCCACCCCCACTACCACCACCAGCGCCAGCACCGGCACCAGAAGAAGGGGTACCAGCAGTTGGCCCCGCCCCTCCGCCCCCTCCTGCTGCTGCTTGCACTCCCACACCCACTGACCCCCCTGCTCCTCCCCCTGCTCCTCCCGCTCCTCCTCCCGCTGCTCCTCCCGCTGCCCCGTCGCCTCTCCTCACTCGCATGAGGGGCAGAGGCCATTTCATACTCGGGTCCTCGGGCAAAGCTACTGTCAACTCCTCCTCTTCCTCCCCCCCTTCCTCCTTCTCCTCCTTCTCCTCGCCTTTCGATGCTGCTTTCACCTCCTCACCCGCCTCTCCCTTCCCGGTCTTCTGCTTTCCCTCTCCCTTCGTCTCCTTCTGTCCCCCTTCTTCCTTCTTCCCATCTCCCTTCACCTCCTTCCCGGCCTCCTTCCCCTCCTGCTCTCCCCCCTGCTTAGCCCCACCACCAACGTCAGCATCCCCACCAGCGCTTCCATCAACCCCTGCTGCTCCCACACCTTCCTTCACTACAATTCCCGCCCCTTCCTTCCTCACTCCTCCTTCCTCCCTACCCTCCGTCTCCTCCACTCCACCAGCCTTCCCTTTCCTGTCTCCCTCACCGGTTTCTACCCCACCATCCTTCCCTCCTCCCCCACCCGCCTCCGCCTTCCCTCCTTCTTCACCTCCTGCCTCCTCCTTCCCTCCTTCTCCCCCTCCTGCCTCCACCCTCCCCCCCACAGCATCCCTAAACGGCAGCTTCGGCTCTTCTGCAACGTCCTTCAACACACGCTCATCTAAAATGATTCTCGTGAACTCCTCATCTAGCAGCAACCTATCAGGCAGCACAGCCTCCTTGTTCTCGTTATAGTACGCCCCCTGTTCCGCTTCTAGCAGGTACGCCTGCAGCTCCTGAATGTCGCGAGCCGGCAGGAAACGCACAAAGACTGGAGACGGGGTGAACGTGACCGGAGGGCGAGCAAGAGACCCCTTACGAGACGCCTTGTAAGTCCCCTCTTCCTCACAAGTCGTGCCTAAGGAACGTTCCTTACATGCTCCCTCCTCCATTTGCTCCTTAGCGAGCCCGTCCTTATCCGGCCACTTGAGTGAATCTTCATCTGAGACGTCATGTGAACCTTCACCTGAATCTTCACCTGAACCTTCATGTGGCTCCTTTCCCATGGAATCCCCTCCAGATACTGCCTTCCCCAGGCGCTCCTTTTCAACCTCCCCCTGCCTCGCTGCCTCCTCCCCTGCAGCCACTGTGGTAGCAGCAGCAGAAGAAATGGTGAGCGAGGAAGTAGCAGCGTCAGCACGAGCGGCAACAGCAGCGTCAGCAACAACGGCAGCAAGAGCGTCAGCAGCAGCGGCAGCAGCAGAAGAAGAAGCTTCCGCAGAAGCAGTGGTGAGCGAGGAAGCAGCAGCATCAGCTGCAGTATAATCAACAGCGGCAGCAACAGCCTTAGCAACAACGTGAGCAACAGCGGCAGAAACAGCGGCAGCAGCAGCAGAAGAAGCTTCCGGAGAAGCAGTGGTGAGTGAGGCAGCAACAGCAGCAGCAGCAGCAGCAGAAGCGTCAGCAACAGCGTCAGCAGCAATGGAAGCAGCAGAAGAAGCTTCCGCAGAAGCAGTGGTGCTCGAGGCAGCAACAGCAGCAAGAGCAGCAGCAACAGCGTCAGCAACAGCTTCAGCAACATGGTCAAAAACAGTGGCAGCAGCAGCAGGAACTTCCGCAGAAGCAGTGGTGAGCGAGGAAGCAGCACCAACAGCTGCAGTAGCATCAACAGCGGCAGCAGCAGCAGCACCAGACGCAGCAGCAGCATCAGCAGCAGCATCAGACGCAGCAGCAGCACCAGACGCAACAGCAGCATCAGCAGCCGCAGCATCAGACGCAGAAAGCACAACTCCAGAAGCAGCATCGCCATCACAACCACTCGCACCATCCCCAACAGCCGCAACAGCTGCACCCGCCTCCTCTCCACCCTTCTCTCCTTTCTCCTCTCCACCCTTCCCTCCCTTCTCCTCCCCACCCTTCTCACCCTTCTCCTCTCCACCCTTCTCTCCCTTCTCCCCACCCTTCTCTTCGATTTTACCTGCACTACTCCCCCCGCTCTCATCCAAACCCTTCTGCACTCTCTCTGCCACGGCTTGCACCTGCAACGACTTTTGAGGCATGGCAGGCGCCTCTAAAGCCCTCTTCGCCATAGCTTGCACCTGTACCATGGTATACTGCACCATACGCGCCATGTGGTCGCGCGTCAGTATCCCCGCTTTAAGCATGCGCTCCACTATATGCTTAAGCCGCATCAGCTCCCGCTGCCTCTCCCTGTCCTGCACTACTGGCAGCGCTCTCGCATGCCGCCGGCACTGCAGCGACTCTCCACAATGCCTGCAACCCTCTGCTGAAGCTGCTGCCGCTGCTGCTGCCGCCTCTGCCGCAGCCGCCGCCGCTGCTGCCGCTGCTGCTGCTTCCTTTTCAGTGACACAGCCCTTCTCCCCTGCTCCAGCTTCCTCTGTTCCCAGCTTGCTTTCACCTGCCTCCTCTTCCTCCTCCTCCTCATCTTCCTCCTCCTCCTCCTCATTTTCTTCCTCATCCTCTCCTGCACTCCCCTCTTTACCATCCCTGTCACAACCCACTTTAACCTCCTTACCTTCGTCCTCACCCTCCACCTCTCTCTCCTCCTCGCCTGAATCCTTTCCGGATCCCGAGTCCCCCGAACTACCCCCCTTCTTCCCCTCCTCACTGCCACCTTTGGTCTCGCCTAGAGCAGCGGCCACTCCCTTCTCAATATCCACATCTCCCTCCTCTGCACCCTCTCCTTCTCCCTTCTCCGCTCCCTCCTCTGCTCCCTTCTCTGCTCCCTTCTCCGCTCCCTTCTCTGCTCCCTCCTTTGCTCCCTCCGCTTCTCCCTCCTCTGTTCCCTCTCCATCCAGCTCCATCGCACACGCTTCATCCTTCTCCTCCTCCTTCTTCTCCTCCTCCTTCCCCTCCTTCTTCTCCTCTTCATCCTTCCCCTCGCCATCACCACCCTCCTCACTCCCCTTCCTCTTCCCCTCTCTCTCCTCCACACCCTTCCCACCCCCCTCCCCACCCACCGCACCACCCGCCCCACTCATCCCCTCTACAAGCCTCCTCACCGCCTCAACACCATCCACCGGTGTAACATCCAACCTCGTAAAAATCTCCTCCCAGGAAAGCGCCTCCTCCTCAGGAATCATTCTCTCCTGCTCCGCGCTCAGCTTCCCTATATGCTCCTCCTGCATGTGCGCCTGGAACGACTCCGCGTCTATGAATCTCTCGTCACACAGGCAGCACGCCCAGAACTGCCAGTGCTTCCTCTCCTTGGCAAAACTCAGCGCTTCTGACATAAGCTCCTCTGCTGCTGCTGCTGCTGCCGCCGCTGACGCTGCAGATTCCCCCCCCAACCCAGCGCTACCACCACCGCTGCTGATAGCAGATGCATGCCCTCCCCCTCTTCCGCCTCCGCCTCCGCCTCCGCCTCCCCCTTCTCCCCCTCCACCTCCCAATCCTGTGCCTCCCCCTCCGCCAGCGCTCCCCACCCCCGCCCCCTTCCCGCCGCGTGCTGACTTGGCAAGGCCCTCGCACACGTCAGCAATGGGGATATCCAGAATCTTATCCTTCTCCTCCTGCCCAAGCGCCTTCCAAAACGGTCTAACCTTCTCCACCTTCTCCTCTATAGCCGATTGCGCCCTCGCCCCGCGCCTCCCCGCCAGCACCTCCCTCCGCCGCTTCGCCCCGTCCAGCCCCCCGCGCCTCTTCCCCCCCGCCCCATCCTTCCCCCCTGCGCCGTCCTCCTCCGCGTCCCCCTTCCGCTCCCCGCGGGCGGACGCGGAACCAGGCGCAGCATCCGAGGCGGACGCGGAAGCGGAACCTCCGCCTCCGTCTGCTGCTGCGCTCTGCCCCTGGCCCTGCCCCTGACCCTGCAGCTGCAGCTGCTGCTGCTGCTGCTGCAGCAGGCGAGCGGCCGTGACGCGCACCTCGATCTCCTGGCGGCGCTCCTCCAGCGTGCGCACCACGCGCTTCACCTCGTGGATGCGCCGCGGCGGCAGCGACGAGCGCGGTTCGATAGGGTCGTCTGAGATCTTCTTCACCTGCTTTTGAGCGAGGACGGGGGGGAAGGGGGAGGGGGAAGGGGGAAGGGGGAAAGGGGAAGGGAGGAGACTTGAGGCTTGAAGCGGGGAAGGGGGGAAATATGAGCGCGGCTCAATCGGGAGATCTTCTTCACCTGCTTTTGAGCGAGGACGGGGGGATAGGAGGGTGGGGGGACGAAGAACGTCTGAGGAATGGGGGAAAGAGGAACGGAGAAATACAATCGAGGCTCAATCGGATCGTCTGAGATCTTCTTCACCTGCTTTTGGGAGAAGAGAGGAAGAGGGAGGAAAGTGGGGAAGGGGAAAGGGGGAAGGGCGGAGGCTTGAGAGGCGGGAAAGGGGAAAAGGCATCACGCAACATTACTATGCAACAGCACCTCTCATTACTATGCAATCAGATTCTTATCATTGACGTGCCTAAAAAAAAAAGAGCGACGTTCAATTTGATATCAACGTCAGCAGCTCTTTTTGAAGCTGTTGATCGCTCGCTAAAATTACTGGAACTAGAAAGGGGTTAAGGGAGGTGGATGGACGGAGAGTGGAAATAGGGTTTTCTCGTGTCCAGTTTCGACTGGATCAGAGAGAAAAATCCCCCAATCACTTCCTAAACGCTGCTCCTTACCTTACCTAGTAAGTATCAATCAAAACAAAAATCACTACGGGAAATCCTTGAAATACTTGCCAGAACATCCCACCGCCGGTCAAAAACCTGCAAGAACCTTTCCACTGATCAAGTACCTTCAAACCTGAAACCACTTGGAGAATACCTGGAGACACTTGAATTAACTATCGAATCTCTGCAAGACCTTCCACAATCTGTCGCATAGTTGCATTAACCCGAATTTCCCACTGTCTATCTAGAGCCGGCAACCAGATTCCTGCGAAAACTTCCACGGCCTCTCTCTCCCATACCTGCAGGAACTTGAACCGCTCGTCCGCGCCGTTGCCGAAGCTCCGCCAGATGGTCGAGAACGACGCGATGTTCGCCTTCTGCTGCAACCCGCGCAGCTCGTTCTGCACGTGCGTTACGCGCTCCGCCGGCGTCGCGAGCTCCTGCTGACTCTCCTCCTGCAGGCTTTCCTTCGCCGGATCTACCGGCGATTCGATCCCCAGCCCGCGCTCGCACTCGCGCAGCACCTCGCTATAGTCACGCCCGTCAGCCGCTTCGAAGAGAAGCTGCGCGTAGAAATGGGCGTACTCGACGGAGTTCGGGGAGATTTCCGTGGCTTTAAGCGCGGATTCTAACGCGGTGCGTAGATGGCGCTGCTTCGTGGAAGCGTCCTCGATCATGTTTGCGAGCTTCAGATGGATGTGTCCGTTCACGCGGTGGCACAGCGGAACGGACGTGAATTTCCCCGTGGCTTCCTTTATTAGCTTCACCGCTTTCGGAGCGTTGCCACGCCGAAGCGCCTTCACGGCCTTTTCGCATTCCGATTTCACTTCCGCGAATCGCGGATCTGAGGGTTCAAGGTAACCAGGACCCGTCCCCTTAGATCCTTCGTCTTGTTGCGATGAAACCCCTCTGTCGCCTGCGCCTCGCCTGTTGCTAGAGCCACCGGATACCACCATAGCACCACGCGAACCTCCGCCTGATGTGGCGGCATCGCCAGATGTAGAATCGGACCCCTGAGACGAGCCAGATCCGGCCTTCGATGGCCGTTTCCGACCCATGATTTGTGAATCTGTTGAATCAATTCCAATTGTTCCGCCTGATGACAGCTCAAAACGTTAACCGCATAGTGCTCGTGCGATCGCTTATGACTGCTATGATTTCCGTACAACAATCAGATCTTCATCCATCAGTATATAAGGACATTATTGTCGATCGGCTAGGGAAGTGAGCTTTCCGGTGACGCGAGTCATGCGACTAAGCTGGACTATGAGACCCTAGAGAAACCTAGTGACGGTTTTGCCGAAAACCCTAGAGAGCTGAAATCACCTCGAGATCTCCAGAAGACCCCTTTTTCGCATTCCAACGATATGCAGGTTGAAGTGGCGAAGACGATGAACATGTACGTTTCCGGGCAGATCCGTGTTTCCATAAACGAGGGTGAGTGCAGCCGAAGCAAGCTCACAAGTTTTTATGGGCTCTTTCTTTGAAATAACGTATATTATACTAAACGTTTCGAAACAGCTGCCATTTCCGGCACTTACAAACGCGAGTAGATAAACACCTACCGTGAATTTGGAGCAGCGGTCCTCGCGTAAGCTCCCTCTGGAGGAACAGATGCCAGTTTGGGGCCATCCTGTCAGTTCTTTCAACCAATTCTGAAAGTGCGAGGTGGTTGCGAACCTAAAACGGGGCAAAAATAATTTCCTTGCGGGCACTGCTGTGGAACACTGCCCCGTGTGATGACTTGACCTGTGCTGTGGCAGTGCGGAAAATGAAACAGCAGTTGGACCTCGAATGGTTTGATGTAGAATTGCCGAAGTGTTAACCTCATGCACCGTAATGTACCTTTTCAGATTCCCTAACAAGCTACTCTTTGAATTCGCTTCGTCCATGCCCCAAATCACCAGTCCCACTCAGGTATTGCTTCCCCTTCCAAAGCAAGGAGGGTGACTCATCTCATCACCACATGGTGGCTTGTTCCAGCAGGCAGCAGTCTCGGCAGGTAATGGCTTGTCAATAGTGTCGGCGAGCCAAATTCCAGCTTCTCACCCAGCGCTAGCCCTAGTGTGCGCCAGGCAGACGTTGGTGTGCTGGAATTAGCTAGCTTCTTGCCGGTTTTCCTTTTTGTCACGACTTTTGCCTTGATAGTACGGTACCACTGATTGTTACTTCCTTCGCTCTTTCAAGTCGGAAAATCCCTGAGACACGCATGGCACCGACGAATTTGTCCTGGGAAATGCTTTCCATGCTTGCCTTCTTGATCATTTGCAGCATTTCCAGCGCATGCGCTGACGTGATGGAGGCGACTGCATTGGTGAAACAGATCAGTCATCTCTTTATTCTCGCGAACCTTTGCCAAATTCCGTAAGTGTGCCACTGCCATACTTTTCACTGTTCTCCACCTGCTTAACTTCTCGTGTTCATCCTGCCTCCTCGCCGCCTCATGCTCGCTCGTTCTTTCCTCATCATTCTCTCGCAGTTCAATCCGACGAGGATCTCCTTTCCAAGCCATCCACCCCTCCTCTGTTCCCGACTTGTTTTCACCTACTTCCTCTTCCTCCGCCTCCTCTTCCTCCACCTCATCCTCTCCTGCACCCCCCTCTTTCCCATCCCTGCCACTACCCACGTTAACCTCCTTACCTTCTTCGTCACCCGCCACCTCTCTCTCCTCCTTGCCTGAATCCTTTCGGAATTCTGTATTCCCGCTAACGTCACCCTTCCTCCCCTTCACACTCCCACCTTTGGTCTCGCCTAGAACAGCGGCCTCTCCCTTTTCAACATCCACATCTCCTTCCTCTGCACCCTCTCCTTCTCCCTTCTCCGCTCCCTCCTCTGCTCCCTCCGCTTCTCCATCCCCATCCAACTCCATTGCACAGGCTTCATCCTTCTCCTCATCCTTCCTCTCCTCTTCCTCCTCCTTCTCGCCATCACCACCGTCCTCACTCCCCTTCCTCTCCTTCTCCTCTTCCTTCTCGCCATCATCACCCCCCTCACTCACCTCCCTCTTCCCCTTCTCATCCTCCACACCCTTCCCAACCTCCTTTCTTTTCGCCCCCACTCTCTCCCCTGACGCGTCCCCCCCCTCCTTTCCACCCACCGCACCACCCGCCCCACTCATCCCCTTTACAAGCCTCCTCACAGATTCATTACCATCAGACGCGGACGCTCCTGCTCCATCTGCTGCTGCATCCTGCCCCTGGCCCTGCCCCTGCCCTTGACCCTGCGGCTGCAGTTGCTGCTGCTGCTGCTGCTGCTGCTGCTGCTGCTGCTGCTGCTGCTCCTGCTGCTGCTGAAGCAGGCGCGCGGCCGTGACGCGCACCTCGATCTCCTGGCGGCGCTCCTCTAGAGTGCGCACCACGCGCCGCGGCGGCAGCGACGAGCGCGGCTCGATGGGATCGTCTGAGGTTTTGTTCACCTGCTTTTGAACGATACAAGGGGGAAGGGGGAGGGAGTGGGAGGAGGCATGAAGATGGGAAGGGGGAAGTAAAAGAGCGGGACTCGATAGGGTTGTCTAAAGATCTTCTTCTCCTGCTTCTGAGCGAGCAGGGGGGAAGGGAAAAGGACTGGGGATGGGGAAAGGGGGAGACTGGAGGACTGAAAGGGAAAAACTAGCATACTTGCAGAAACTTAATGTTCCCTCTGTCTATCTAGTGCCGTCAACCAAACCCCTGCGGGACCTTCCACGGCCTCTCTCTCCCATGCCTGCAGGAACTTGAACCGCCCCTTCGTGTGTCAAAACCCCGCGGAACCGTTCACAGCCTATCTCCCATACCTGCATGAATTTGAACTGCTCGTCCGCGCCGCCGAAGCTGCGCCAGATGCTCTTGAACGCCTGGAGGTTGGCCTTCTGCTGCAACCCGCGCAGCTCGTTCTGCAAATAAATCACGCGTTCCGCCGGCGTCGCGAGCTCCTGCTGACTCTCCTCCTGCAGGCTCTCCTTGGCCGGATCTACCGGCGACTCGATCCCCAGCCCGCGCTCGCACTCGCGCAGGCACTCGCGCAGCACCTCGCTATAGTCACGCCCGTCGGCCGCTTCGAACAGAAGCTGCGCGTAGAAGTGGGAGTACTCGACGGAGTTCGGCGAGAGTTCCGTGGCTTTAAGCGCGGATTCTAACGCGGTGCGTAGATGACGCTGCTTCGTGGAAGCATCTTCGATCATGTTCGCGAGTTTCAGGTGGATGTGCCCGTTCACGCGGTGGCACAGCGGAACGGACGAGAATTTCCCCGTGGCTTCCTTTATAAGCTTCACCGCTTTCGGAGCGTTGCCACGCCGAAGCGCCTTCAATGCCTTTTCGCATTCCGATTTCACTTCCGCGAATCGCGGATCTGTGGGTTCAAGGTAACCAGGACCCGTTCCCTTGGATCCTTCGTCCTGTTGCGATGAAACCCCTCTGTCGCCTGCGCCTCGCCTGCTGCTAGAGCTACCAGATACCACCATAGCACCACGCGAACCTCCGCCTGATGCGGCAGCACCGCCAGATGTAGAATCGGACCCCTGAGACGAGCCAGATCCGGACTTAGATGGCCGTTTCCGGCCCATGATTTGCGAATCTGCTCAATAGAGTCCAATAGTTCCGACAGCTCAAAACGACTGTCAAACGACTACCTAGCTTCAAGTGCTTTGCAGTCGACAACTCCTTAGCCAGGGTCTCATGTAAGCTAAGGAGCCATCGACTGCAAAGCACTTGAAGCTAGGTAACCAAGTTAGTGCTGGCGAAGTTGTCTCTGGTTGGGTTGGAAACTCAGCTTGCGACACTGTTCCTGACGTGCAATACTGCCCGATTACATGTCCCGGGTCATGCCATGACCTGTGGCATTGTAGGGATGATATACCTCAGCGGACGAAAAACGCCGCCCAATTTCGCGGTTGCGATAGGACAAGGGCCCTCCTCGGGATTGACGAACCCCCGACGACCTCCGAGTGGCAAGCTGGCCCTAAACCGGCTGTCCTTCGGGCCCCTAAAGCCCTCGGGATTGTCGACGGTCTGACGACCTCGGGTTTCGTTGAGAGAAACCCGAGAAGGATATCTCAGCGGACAAAAAATCGCAGCTCGACACGTCAAGCCGCGAAATCTGCCACGCGGCCCAATCGGGACGATCGAGACCGTCCCCGACATCGCGGATTGCCACGTCGCTCACGACGTGGCCACGCGTCACTCCACGGGTCAACGTGATTTGCGCCCGAAACACGACGCGCCGACCAAAAAGGTCAGCGGCGTCCACGCGGCGAACAACGACTTGTTAGTGCATGTACAGGTGTCGACCATCGACGGAATCCAGGGAGCGCGGGAGAAAAAAAGCCGCGCTTCTTGCAATGTCGGTGTTGCCCAAAGATCCATGGGCCCCTGAGATGACTAGGTGAAGCGAATCTGACAAACCCACAGGGAATGTCGGCGTCGACCACCTGGGCGTACTGTGTGCGTGACACGCGGCTCTTCACAGGTGGGGAACGTATGCGCGGGAAGTCGGCAGCCACGGCATTTCTGGAGCGAGGAACCAATGATGGGCTTAGACCACGTGGCTCACGCGAAATCCACCGTGGAATGGCCCGGGCTTGGCCTCATTGAGTGCAGCGCGGCGTGACACTAGCCATGCATGGCTCGTGGCACGTCAGACACTGCGCCGCCGCACGAGGACATATGCAGCGCGGCGCTTGCAAAGAGGGTTGCGTGGAGCGCGGCAGGTGGGGAGTCGCTCACAACCATACCCCTCCTTGACCGGACGCAGATCCTCATTCTGCCGTTCTGTCTGTGTTCCTTCCCTCGTATTGCATGCGCTCTCTGGCACTTAGAATTTTCCCCTCCCACATCATCTTCATGTATGTACGTTACTCGGGCGCCGACCATACGATCTCGTCAGCACAGTTCGCGTCGACCTGGCAGAGAAGAAGCAGGTCGGTGTTTAGGTCGGCGACCGGTCGTCGACTTCGCCGTAGGAGGTTTTAGCGAAGCATCTCGTAAAGTCGGCATAGTATCAACAGCTCTACCGACCAACCAAGACGGGACAACAGAACCTTTCTGAGTCGGCGATGCATGGCCAGAGGACGGCCTAGTGCCCAACAGCCGCAACCCATCCCACCCCCTGCCGACACTGTAGACGCCGACATCAAAGCGCAGCTAGAACGTGCAGAGATCGCCGCTGAGTTAGAAGCACTTGAGAGGGAATTCGAGCTTGACGCCCGGGCAACTCATAGGGCATACACAGCTCCCGTGACTCGGTACCGTCTATGGTGGTCCAACCTTTACCTCGCACAGGGACCACGGTAGAGCAACAAACGGGCGGCCACATGGCCGACGTTGACATGCCCGACGTTGGTCCCCCAACCGACCACAATCCGACCTCTATCCCCGAAGAGACGCTGAAGTTACTCTACGATCTTGACGCACTGACTCAGATTCCAGAAGGGGAGTTCACCAAGGACATTCCCCCACCGCCGATAGGGGAGTTTACGAAACCAGCTAGTACGTCGACTCCGACGCAAAATGGACAGCCGGGATCTTCGTCGGTGCCGCCCGGCGCTGGAAACCAGGGTGATGACGAGGAGGAGGAAGAGAGCGATGGCGAATACGACGAGCGTCCACCGCGTAGCACGAATCCACGCACCTTGGAAGAACGTCTCAGGCGGGAACTTGAATACATAGATGACATGCTCGAACAGGACGAGGAGGAGGACGAGCAGAACATGGCGGTGCCACGCGATCAGTGGAGGGCGGCAGACTTCGTCGGGGACAACATGGTTTACGCGTGCATCGACGTGCTCGTCATGGACGCCCTACGCCACCTACAAACCTTGGAGAAGAAGAGCACGCTAAGGCTGTACACCTCGTGGATCTACCACTACAAGAGGTGGGCGGCGAAGATGCTGAAGCAGATTCGCGACAAGCTTCCCCAGGAGCACCGACTTAGACACGTCGACGAGATCGGCCACTACATCCGCGACAACAAGAAGAAGGATTGGGACAACGAGGCCGAGGTCCCCCGGAAGTACATCTGACTGCACGGCCCTAGGGTCACCGAAACCCGGCTGCGCGCCTACGTGAAGTTTATTAGACGTGAGTGTAAGCTCGATGCCGAGTCGATCGAGGAGGGGAACAATGCCACGCGAACTCAGCTTGTGCAAGCTACAACGGTGCACATGCTCCTCGGGCGCATAAAGGCATGCCAGACGGCGGTGAGGGTGGAGGCGACGCTCTACAGGGAGAAGGAGCTGGGCATCATGCGGGAGATCTCGGTGGTCAGATCGGAGGTGCGGGTCATGGTCCGCACCAAGAACGAGAGGGACCTCAAGTAAGTTGGTCGACACCGCCAACCTCAGTCATCATAACTCGTAAGTCGACCTCGTCAAAAAAACAATACACTGTGGCTTTGTGGGCAGGAATTGCGCTGACCAGCGTCGCGGCACCATCGGCGATACCTACACCGCCGAACAGTTCCGCCAGATCATGACGAAGGTGCTGCCGACATGGGCGGCGTCGGCGTGGAACCCGCGGGCGACCGCTCCCTCGCAGACGCTGTGGAGATTTATGCTCATCAAGGTGCTCACGCTACTCTCCCACCACACTCTCCTACGCGGTGCCAGCATCCGCGAGATCACGCTCCCCGATATCTTCTTGTACCGACTGGCGAGCACGTCGTCGGTGAACCCGGAGAACCAGCCGGTCGTCATGGTGATCGCCGCGCGGAACTCGAAGACTTCCAAGGATGCCCGTCTCCAGCAAAGCTACGCGGCGCGACACCTGGAAGCGGAGTTGTGCACCGTCGGCGAGACCGGCTTGTGGCTGCACTTCATCCTCGACCAGATCGGCCAGTTCAACGGCGTCGACTTCCTTCCGCCGCTGGACACCACCGCACGCGAGCGCTAGTACAAGAAGCACCCCTTCTTCGCCCGCAACGACAAGGAGCAAACAGAGCTCTCCGCCGCCAGCCACCAACGCTGGACACGGCAAATGTGGACGACCAACAAGGTGTTTTGCAAGCGGAACGTGCACGCCGCTCGCTCCGGAGGTGCGCAGGAGCTAGCCATTGAAGGGACGCCTCGCGCCGAGATTGCCGAGCTGGGTCACTGGGCACTCGATAAGATGACGCGTGCTTACATCACAGCCATTCCCGTTGGGGTGGTGATTAGGAAGGCCGGCTACTCGGGTTGCAAGCAAGACTACTTCTTGGGTCGCAGCAGGGTCGAGCCCTCCGACAAACTCTTGGACATCATCGCCGAGCACATCTTCCCCGGACAAACTCTTGGACATCATCGCCGAGCACATCTTCCCCGGCGTGGATGCTCTGCTGCGCGATGTATGTTAGGCGACGCCGACAATGTCCTTACGACGCGATGTATGTTAGGTTGCCCAACACATTACTAACCCACATCACTTGCCGACGTGCAGGCGGAAACGCGTGCTGCCAAAGGGAGCGACGCCGACAAAGCCGCCGTGCACTTCTGGCGTACCCTCCCGATGATGCGCCGCATCGTCGCCGAGGACCTCGCGGTGAAGCTCGTCCGCACCCCTTGGCACCCGTACGTCCAAGGCTCTAAGCTCTGCCGGATTGCCCTCTTTCAGCACTGGGCGAAAAGGGTCGAGAAGATCGACACCGAAACGATCAACAAACGCCGGGACCCGACCCTCATTCAGCCAGAGGTAAACCGTCGATAAAGTCAGCGTCGATCTGTTACGGGTGTATTCTAAACTCTTTCCGCCTTTCCGCCTTGTTGTGAGGATCTAGGATCGAGCTCAGAAAAGTGGGTTTGAATTCAATGATCCACCAGGGTACAACACGAAGCTATATTTAGGCTCGACACAAGGCAGGTAACCCAGGTGTTACGCGAATGTTCTGAGGGTCGCGAAGCGTCCCGAACAGAACCTTCCCGAACTCGGTAGAAAGCAATTCGGTGGAAACCGAATAGGCTTGGGTTCGGTACACGTAACCTGGTTCGGTGCTATAACTATAATAACATATAGGAATGCACCTAACCTAGGAAATCAAGCATATCTATGCATGATAAATAAAACCCAAGCTAGTAATAGCATAATAAAGTTCAGGCAAGCTAGCAAAGCCAGCATAAGCCGTCGTACTCTCACACTTGTGCTGCAGGAAATCTCCGTCCGCTTGGACACCGAATACCATAACATGTCCCTCAAGGAGACGCTGAAGTACGAGAGGGAGCGCTCCGCGGTCGAGAAGATTGACCTTCAGGAGGAGATTGAGAAGCGCGACGATACCATCGCGACGCTGACCGCCGAGAGAACCCGCCTCATCCAGGCACTCCGTGTGTCAGAAGCACGGAGGATGCCGGCGGCGCCGCCGTCGGCGAACGAGCAAGCGCCGAGCGAGGGTGGCTCCACGGATTCGGCCAATACGGGGGCCGGAGCCAAGAAACGGGATGAGAAACCCCCGAAACCCCCACAGACGGTCGACGAGGCTCGTTACGAGGTCAACGTGGTGCAACCTTGGCGGGAGGCAAAGATCGTGAGGGACGCTTGGCGCCTCTGGAACTCCGCCACCGCCAATGACACCCGTCGTCTTTGCGACAGGGTCGCCGAGCCGGGATTCGTCGACCGCCACACCCTCCTCAAAGGCGCGACGCAGGGTGCACACGACATGAAGGTGCGCCGCATGCTGAAGGCCATGGATGCAGTGCGCCTTCTTCGCTCGAGCGACGGCGATGCCGACACCGAAGCCGTCGTCGCTGCACTGAACAAGATCGCGGCGCCGGGCATCGGAACCTTCTGCGATGCTCTCACGGTGCTCAAACCGGGAACCGCACCGACGAAATCCAAGGAGCCTGGCATGGGCGTCAAGGGGCTGGGCCCCAAGTTGGTCTCGAAGCTTCGTCTCGCCTGTGCGCTGGTGGCGCTCAACTTGAAGCCGAGCGCTTGGGTCGGCGTCCTGTTTCCAGACACCTGGGAGGAGCAGATGCCGAAGACCGTGGCCGACATGGCCAAGCAGACCGCACCTGTGCTGCGTCCTCCGACGAAGCGCAAGAAGGCGGCATGAATACCTTTGGAGCATATGCGTGTGCGTAGTTTGATGATGCTGTAATTGTGGTCGATTTTAACAAACCATGATGCTTATATTGTTTAGGAAGTTGGTAAACAACACGAACCTAAGGCACAGAACAGGGCCCATGCGAACCTAGATGATCCAACAATGGTAACTGCAGTCGGTCGCCGACCAACAAACAACCCGAATATACTTGCAGACAGTCAAACCCTCTATGTCGACAGACACCATACTAAGCGGACGTATTGTCGGACTCCGACATATACGCCGACAAGGTTCATCCCCGAGTAGCATGTGAGTGTGCAATTCAGAGGGTAGTGATCAGGTCGACATAGCCGACGAGGGTTCTAGTTACATGCACTACCAAAAAGTTACATGCACTACCACATAAGCAAACACAAACAGAACGTTACAAGCACTAAAAAAAAAAAAGATCCAACAAAATAACTACGCAATCAGCGCCGCCCAAACCAAAATGTTATACACCCTAGCAATCAGACCACCTAGCGCTCCCTCCGCGCGCCGACTACGCCGCCGTGTTGTCCTTGCCCTTCCTTCCCTTCTTCCCCTTCTTCCCCTTCTTCCCCGTGCTGTCCTTGCCCTGCTTGCTCCTCTGCCCCTTCCTCCCCCTGTGTTCAATATCGTACTCCATCTGCGCGTCACACGGCACCGCGATGCCGATCTCTTCGAGTTTCGGCCCGGCGACGGGGCACATTCCCCATAACGCCATGATCTCCACCGTCGCTCTAGCGATCACGTCGGCTTCGACTTCAACATCCACCCCCGGATAGACCCTTTCCAGAGCGCGACTCTGCAGCGCCGGCGCGACATTGTGCGCAACCTCCCCGAGGGGTTGCTCCCTGTCGATCTCGGCCTCCAGCACCGCCTGCATGACCTCCTTGAAGACACCGGCGGTCGTCTCGCTCGCACCGACCACCATCGCCGCCGCCTTCCCTTCGCCCACAGCGTCGACCACCTGGGCGTCGTCGTTCTCGACTAAGCACCACACGGCGCAAGCGGAGGCCGATAACGCATGTGCCGCCATCGCCGTCTTCTCATCCGTGTCTCCCTCCTTCCTTGTCGCGCTCGCAGCGACCTTCCCATACGCAGCGCACATGGACACGCGACCTATCATGGCCGACAGCATAGCATCCGACTTCTCCTTGCCTTCCTTCGTGATGGCATCGACAGGGAACCAGATCGCCGGCAAGAGCGCGTCGTGGTGTGCATCGCCTGAGCTCTTGTACGCTCGATACTTGCCGATAACATCATTGAACCTGTCACGCAATCACATGAAACCGGGCGACCATTAGTGACTCCGACATCGTCATCATCACTCGGCCGAAGGGTATCCGACTTACCGTGTTTTTGGAAGGTACGCGCCCCGTGCCCATATTGCCGTCCACATCCCAGTCGGCAAGAACCTGACCTCCTCCCAGACCTTCCTCCACTTCTCCAACTCGGTTTCCGCCAAGCCGGTGAGCTCGGCCATGAGGACCTTGCTGACGTAACCGTCGTAGACGATGTACGCAATTGAGTGCAGGTACGCCAGCTCCATCTTGTCGCGCGACTTGCCGATGTATCGATTAGCGCCGAGCACCTTAATCTCACCCACCCACCCTAGCTCGTTGCCCGAGCTGTCGTGGCGGATGCCATGACCCTTCCGTCCTTTCTCCTTCTCCTTCTCCTCCTTCTCCTTTTCCTTCTCCTTCTCCTTCTCCTTCTCCGCCACCTTCTCCTTCTCCTTCTCCGCCACCTTCTCCTTCCCTTTCTTCGCCGACGTACCCTCGACGACCGACTTCTCCTCCTGATTCTCCCCCGCCTTCTCCTTCCCTTTCTCCACCAACTTCTCCTTCGCCTTCTCCCTCCCTGTCTCGGCCGACATCTCCTTTGTCGCCGGCATCGCCCGTGTTTTCCTCTGACAGCTCGCCCTCCCTTTCCCTGTGTTGGCCTTCCCCTTCTGTTTCGCCTTTCCCTCGCCGACAGCATCAGTGGTCGTCTTTGGCTCCGCTGAACCACCGGGGGGACTCGCCGAGGGCTCCACATGCGCCGTGTTCGATATGGCCAGAGCAGGGGGGTGCCCGGGGCGTTTCACCGCTTCCAACAGGTCCTGGATGGCAGCGATGCCGGCGTCGTTGTGGTCTTTCGCCGCCTATGCAGGGTCAACGGCTCCGCCGCCGGTGGCTAGCGCTGCCCTCACGCCCTTCTCCGCCGCCGCATCGACAACAGCTGCATCGGGTGAAGGTGCATCCACGTTTACCGACGTCGGCGTTGCGCTTGAGCCGGCTTCCGGCTGAGTCTGTGTTGGCGCTGCCGCACTACGTGCGCCTAACCGGGCGCGAAGCAATGCGGACTTTGGGTCCGCAGGAGGACGGGCGGCGACCAGAGGCGCGGTAGGTGGGGCACTGGACGTTGTGGCGGCGACCTGCGGAGTGACCGAGCGACGTGCTGTTTCGGCGGGGGCGGCATCAACCAAGGGAGGCTGCTGCACGTCCTTGCAATGGGCCTCCATGCGGTGGAGCATTTCCCTGAGCGCGTTCGCCGCTGCGGGCACCTTAGTGGCGGACGGACCATCACGGTTAGCCGCAGCATCCTTCGCGTCGCCCTTGGCGGCAGACGGGCCTGTTGGAGCTGGAGTAGCCGCAAGGGCCGGCCCATCGTTGTTGGCGGCTGACGGGCCGACCGGCCGCATGGGGTTTACGGGGAATCGACGTGGTCCCCGCCACCCCGACAGACGGTCCCTCGACGGTTCTGGCGCCGCCACCTATCGCCGTTTGAGCGGTTGGGATCTCCTTGTCGCTCAAGCCTTTCCCGCCGCTCGCCAGACCATGGGGCTTCTCGGCGACCAAGGGCGAGGCTGTTGGTCCAGCGTCTTGAGCGGCAACCTCGTCGGCAGGGCCCCCATCTGCACTTCCGATTCCATCGCCCTTGCTGTGCGACCTTATCACCTTGGCCCCGTTCTTCTTGAGCTGGTCGACCACGCTCGGACCTCGAGTCCGCGAGCCGCCTGGACCCACCGCACCGACGCCGCGGCTCCCATCGGCTCCCTTGCTCCGCTTCACGCTCCCCGCATCATCTCCGCCTCCCGCCCTTTTCTGGCCCTGCTTGTTGGCCTCCCTTCGTTGTGCGGGATCGGCGTCATTGGCCGACGGCGACGACCCACGCCGACCAGGCGCCACATTGCCGATCACCTCGGTCATGAGCTTTAACCCGGACGCAACAAACGACTGCTGGGTGGCCTCCGTCACCGCCTTCAACGCGTTCGCCTTGAACGACTTCATGAGCTCGTCCGGGAAGGCTGGCGTTGGGGCTCATCCTCCTCTTCCTGATCCTCGTTATCATCCTGGTGCTTCTCCGCGGTCCCAGTCACCGCCCTTCCTGCCTCCTCATCTGCCTTGTCGACGCCGCCTCCGGGCTCTTCGATCGAAGTTCCACGCGCATCATCGACGGTGTGGGCGACACCTACTGCTTGGGATGCCGAAGGGGGCTCCTCGCCGTCGTCGTCACATGTGTCGGCAGCAACTCCGACATGGCCCGACCGTTTCAGAGCGACGTGCTCCTTGAGGAATGTTATCATCCCATTCCGCAGCCCCTTCAACCCCGAAACGTTGACCTTATCCATGCTGGTCGCACTGCGACGGAGGGCGCCGGTCAAGAGATCCATCCTCCTCACCACCCAGCACAACGCGCTCATTGCTAGCAGGCCGGAGCCCGCGTTCCCGTCCTGGACGGCGTCGGGCACTTTCTGCATACAACGGTTCATAGCGCAAGGATGAGCACCGCGTTCGGCAATCGCATCGCGCAAGGATGACACACTATAGGACGGTAAATCGTTCGGAACTCACATCTCAAAGGGGTTCATCGCAGTCGGCGAGCCTGTCCTCCACCTCTTCATCAGAAGGCTTCGGCCACTCCCACTTCCTACCATCGCGGCCCAGCTCGGCCAGGACCGCCGCCTGGAAAAAACTGAAGCAACATGGCACAGATTGTCGGTAAGCATGGTTTACGCTGCGCGGCGAAATGGCATGCGTCGTCGACTACACTATCGAGCTCACTTCAGCATGCGGATCGCCTCGTCGCGGTGCCACTGCTTCACGGTCTGCGGGTCAACGTGCCGGATCGACGTCCTGATCTTCTCCCCCCGGCCTTCAACAAGTCGCCGGGGTACATGATGACAACGATGCTGCGTTGTGCTCCTGGAAGCGGTGCGATGCTGCACAGGCAAGGCACGACGACGTCGTTTAGAACAGACCACCGACATAGGATGCATGGCACACCATGACGACTTCGAACCAGCTCACCTCGAATGCAGGGGGATAATCGATACGTCGGCGTCGAAAACCGTCGAGAAGCATGTGTGGTCGTCCTGACCCATCGCCGCCCGAAGCCGGCCGAGTCCTATCGACCACAATTGCATGTTGGCCGGCGCCGCGCGAGTCCATGCGTGCCTGCACGCATGCATGGGTATTAGAAGTGAGTGAGGAGTTGCACGACACGACGGTGGATACGTCGGTTCAGGAACCGCCAACTGACGGGGATGGCAACAGTACAACGGTGCACCACCCTCGCGACGTTGTAGTCAATGGAGCCGACCGATGCGGGCACAACCCTGTGCCGACACCGACCTACTGGTGAAATCGGAGTTCTAGATAACCCTGAATCCTAAAGTCGGCGTCAACGAGAAGTGAACTAAACCCTAAACTCGTAGCGCCGCCCTAGACGTGGGACAACCCTAACACCGACGCTGCGTCGACCAGCAAGGTATGTAGAGGTCGACGCCGACATCCCCATACGGAGAATCACTTGAGGCCGAATCCCAAGCAACGGGCGTTGAACTCTAGCCTATGGTCTACGAGGACGGCGTAGTCGTGTTCCTCGAGCTTGGCAGTGAGTCCTCTACCCGGGTCGAGATACAGAGGGAAGTCCTGCGAAGTCGGCGTCACTTCGCCGGCTTTCGGGTCGGCCTCCATGGCGGGGAAGGGAAGTGACTACAGGCTAAGGGACGAGAATGTGGGAGTAAGGAAGGCGTAGAGATGGGGAAAATGTTGAAAGAGAAACGAGAAAAGGAAAATGAGGAGCGAAGCCACCTTCCACAAAGAAAAGGAGGTGGTGCCCCACAGGCCGGTTGAGCATCGCCCAAGGGTGTGGGGCCTGGCTCGGCAGGGCTCGGAGGTGGCATGCACAAGTGGCACAAGTGCTCCGTCTCCGCCGAGCCAGCACGTCGACTTCGCGTCCATTGGAGCATGTCGGCGAGGGGACGCAATTTCGCATGCGCGCGTTGCGACGTTTCGGCCGACACGTGTCGATTTCGCAGCGGATCGCGAAAACCCTGCGCCGCGATGCGAACAATTTAATTTCGCCGGGCTCGAAATTTCGCATGCACCCGATGCGAACCCGCGTGCGAACACGTGGCGTCACCGCAACGGGTCGCGAAATTGTCGAGCGTCCCGAGGGGAGCACCCGAATTTCGCATGGCCCTCGCCTGCCCGTCCGGGCAGGTCGCGAGGGTCACTAGGACGTCGCGGGCAGCAGGCACGGGAGGGCTGCCTTCGCGCTAGGGTTACTTTCCCTCGCGCGAGGGGGTCGCCAGCTCGCCGCCCCCACCCGGTAACGTGGGGCGCTGTTCAATTACGCAGGGGGGTTGCGGGGCGGCGGTCGTGCGCTCGGCCCAGCCCTGGGCCAGGCTGGCGGGCCCGCACGCGCGTCAGTTCCCCGCCCCGTCAGCCCCGGCTCCGACGACCCCCTCTGACGACCCAGGCAAATCGGTTCCGACGACCGAATTGCGCTGGGATGTTTGAAAGTGAAACGAGCAGTTCGGCCTTGAACGGTTCGATGTGGAATCACCGAAATGTACAACTCTGAACCCTTTTATTATCCCTAAGACACCGTATTATACCATTACAATTTCCCCAGAAAGCTTTGCTAGAATTCACATCATCCACACCCCTCGGTACCAGCTCCCAACTTCCCACAATTCCCCCAGATCTTGGTTTCCTTCAGCAAATACATGACTAGCTCCTTTCTCTAATGTAGCGACAACTAATGTAGCAACAACTAATGTAGCGAGCCATTTTCCAGCTCCTCATTCTAAATATTTGTCTACCAGCGCCCCCTTTCGTGTGAGTGGTGCTGGACTTGGCTATCATTCGTCTTGCCAGTTCTTGTGATATTCGTCTTTAGCCTTGAGACTGCCACTATTTGGTTGCTGAACACGCGCAGACGTGTTACAATCGTGCGTCGTACGTTCAAAGTCGGAATCACTCTAAAGTCGCTCCACGAATGACACCGACGAATGGGTCCTGGGGAATGCTTTCCCTGAGTGCCTTCATTATGATTTGCGGCCTTTCCGGCGCATCCGCTGACGCGACGGAGGCGACTGCGTTGGTGAAACAGATTAATCACCCATTCCTCTCTACCTTCTCGCGGATCTTCGCCGAATTCCGTACGTGTGCAAGTGTCATGATACGTTCTGACATTCTCCACCCGCGAAGCTTCTCAAATTAATCCTCCCTCCTCTCTACGTCGTACGTATGTTACTCACTCATTCTTTCCTCTTTCTGATGCTCCCGCAGTTCGATCCGACGAGGACCTCCTTTCGGAACCATCCACGCTCCTCGTGCCGTCCAACATCGGATTCGAACAAATCAAATGGGACGATTTCACAGAGGAGCAGCAGAAGCGCATTTTCCGCCACCATATACTTGCAGGGCGATGGACGCTGGCTGACCTGCTAAACGCGCAGCCTGGGACGAATTTCACAACCAGAGACGGTGGAAGGCAAGTGACCAAAGTACACAAGGATCAAGAGTGTTATTTCCAGACTTATCCTCCCATGAAGATCCCGTCACCACTCAACATTCCTGCAGCAGCGTCCACAGGCAGGCTGATTGCTCATGGGGTCACGTTCGTCTTCTTGCCTCCTAATTTCTTAGCATGCCCAGCTTCAGAAGCTATTTGTGATAAGTGACAGTGTTTGTATTCACTAAAGAAAACATCTGGGTGTGAGGAGAGATCGTCCTTGCTGCTGCTTATTTGGAGCATATGAAAGATGCAATGCAACACATCCATATTGATGTGAGTCCTCCTTGTTTGGAAATGCTTGATGCACACGCAAGCGTACCGGTAATTGAAGAATGGTTAAAGCCAGGATCTCAAGTACCACAAATGTTTTGCAGTTGATGGTTGGAGCTTGGCTGCGATTGGTCGACGAGGTGCAAGGGGTGCAGCGAGGGGTGCGAAGGAAACTGAACTCGTTTGTGTGTGTCCGAACCTTGTAGGCATGGAGTTTGGTTCGGATCCGAAGCTAGAATGCCACAAATTTGCCGACAGTCTCATGTTTCTGAAATTGTTTTGCATTTGGTGCTGGGGCAAAAGCTTGGGAGTGTCGCACGCCAAACTGCCTAGCCAACCAGTCTACTTCGCATACAGAAACGGGGTAACTGAGCGTCAACTGTTTTGCAATTGATCCCAATTTCTCTTACTTGAGATCCTGGCTTTAACAGGCTTCAGCATCTCCCTTCGGTATGATTGCCTGACTTCTGTATCACATGTCTCAGCAAATGATTACATATTATATGGTACCGGTATTCTCTATCACAAACCCGTTTGAAATTTACGGTATGCAATGTTTGGGAGGGCTACATTTTGCAGTGCAAATTTCGATTGTGTTGAACAAGTCTTGGGTTTTTTTTTTGTTTTCAATGTGAGAATAATAGTAATGATGTGACATTTGGTCTAAGAAATGTGGTACTATGACCGTATTATACGAAGTTATATATACGTTGTATGTTCCTTTAGCGAATGCTGGCAAGGTATATCGGATAGGATTTTCCTCCACACTTTGTGGGGAATGGTCGGCCCAGACAATTTACTTTGACTGCGAGATTTTTCTTTCGGCGATTCCCCTCCGCTCGCGTAAGAAAATCGCCATCTCCAGGGAGCTGCATCTAGAAAGAGGGTGCATTGCAGTCCGTGGAATTGATAAGTGGACACGAAACATCTAGGCCGCAGGCATTTTCAGCCAAGGCTGCTTTTGGCGTAGCAGGACTCTTCCCGACCACAGACCTTGTGGTTGTGGAGGGAAGGTAATGATTGTCAAATGAAACGAATGGTGCGCTGCTTGTCCACACCGTTATTGCTGATTCAGCACTTTTAGGCTGGAAAGTGTAGCACGTGAATGCATGACTAGGATTCCCGCCACCCCATTAGCCTAGTCTATCCGCGATATCTCTTCCCGACATATGAGGGGCTGCTTTCGTTGTACGGGCATCTCCCTGACGTGTTCGTAGGTTCCACACGTGTATCACTACTACTGTATTTGTCGAGCTGATCTTGTTTCAATTACGCATGTTCTTTCAGGCGCCACATCAGCATCACCCACCCGCCTTTGCTGTCGAATAATTCTTTGCAAAATCTTCCTACGAGCCAGGCGGGAACCATAACCACGCAGAAGAAATCTGCCCAACTTTCAGTTTCATCTATTAAACTCCACCAATCACAGCGCTTCTGTTCACATCCATTTTCTCTTCCGCATCCAAGCTTAGATGGCAGGGCACTCCAAACGCCCCCTCACCTCAACCACGCGCGGGTCGCCAATTCCCCCTTCCCAACTGGCATGTTCGTCACTTTCCCCTCCCCAACATCTTGCATGTCGCCCGCTCCCTGTCCGCTCTTCCCCCCCAGCCTCCCCCGAAATCTCTCTCGACCACAGAAAACACAAAATTATCAACTGTACAAGAAATGAATCTGCCCAGCCCACACAACCGCCAGCAAAAAGTGCTGCCACTGCACCTCGTATTCCGCAACCTCCAATCCACTCTCGCTGCTTCTGCTTTCTCCCGCCCCACGTTCACTCCTCCCTCTGCCTTGTGCGGCCCTGCATGACTGCCTGTCTCAGCTCTCGCTCACACCGCACACCCCTCGCAAGCGGACCTTTTAGTCGAACCAGCCTTTTTCTTTGCCAGCGTGTCGCACTTTTTCCCAACACAGCACCCTCGCCCTATAACACATCCACACCTTTCTTGGTGCATAGCCACTTCAAACCATCCTAAGTCCATCCTCAGCTTCGTGTTGTGACCAGCGTCTCCAGACTTCGAGTCTTTGCTAACTAAATATTACTATAGCAATTTGAGTGAGTCAAAGGCCGTTCGGTCCACTGGCGAGCCGCGACTGAGAAGTACTGTTGCACAATATGGCGGCCGTTGCGCACCCACAGATGCCTGCTTTTGAAGCCCACGCCGGAGACCCTGGAATCCGGCTGTTTGGTCGGACAATAGAGGCCACAACCAGCCAGAGCGATTCTCCTCGCGCGTCGTTGTCAGGCGAATCGAGGCGAACCAATGGCGGTCGGGAAGATGACACTGCCGAAACTGCCGGATCTTCCGACGTCAATTCCGCAGCCTCACAGCAGCAATGCCGCGGACTTGTAAGTATATACTCAAAACACCTCAATTACTGAAGAGTGAAGGCCTCTCTAGATCTTGTCGGCTTAATTGCATCTGACCAACCAATTTTTGAAACTGACCCATTTTTCCGTCTTCTCTTCTTATTCTATCCTCGATATCTGCAGGATGCGATACTAGCCGCGGCAATGGAGGGCCAGGCAGCGACCGGCAAACCAAAGCAAGCCCGCATCGCAAGTTGCTCGAGCATGAAAAGCCAAGTCGACGACGAGCCTCGCGCAGGAAACGGTGCGACGGAAGGCGAGGATGAAAATTGCGAGGACAACGCGGGATGCAGAAAGCACTCGACGATTGCTCAAGCAGAACAGGACCAACACAGCAATGGCCCCGGCGACAGCGACGGTGCCGGGGATAGCGGCGTGGACGAACCAACGGAGCAGGGACAGCCGGGGCAGGCGCAACTAGCGCATGCGCAAGCGCAATTGACGCAGCCAACGACGGGGGCTCAGGAGCAGGCGGCTTCCGAACGAGCGGACGGGCAGGAGCAGGAGCAGCAGCCGCAATTGGAGCAGCAGGAGCAGCAGTCGCTGAAGCGGCGGACTAAGAAGCTTCCGTGCCCGCGGTGCGCGAGTATGGATACTAAGTTCTGCTACTACAACAACTACAACGCGTCGCAACCGCGCCATTTCTGCAAAGGCTGCCAGCGCTACTGGACCGCAGGCGGAACGCTCCGCAACGTCCCCGTCGGCTCCGGCCGCCGGAAGGGCAAGATTCCCGCGGGCGCCGCCGCCGCCGCCGTTGCCAGCTCCCCGGGGAATCAGCAGCCCGCAGCCGGTCTACTGCCGGCCGGTGGGGCTGTTGCCGGGCCGTTCGGCTTCTGCCCGTCAGCTGGTCGCAGCTGCAGCCCAGACGGCAGCAGCGTCACTGGATTGACCGGATTGACCGGGTTGGCGAGTCCGGGGACAGAAGTGCTGAGTATGAGCTCCCCCGCCGCCGCCGCCGCCGCGGCCGCCGCAATGGCCGCCGCAGCCATGGCGGGGTCTTCACGATGGGGCATGGATCCCGCTGTCGCTGCGACGGACGCGGGTTCGAATCCGTTCGCTGCCGCCTTACCACACGGCCAGTTTGTGCCGTCTAATCTGCCGGCGCATCTGCCGGCGCACCTGCCTCCGCACATGGCGGTCGACAGCAGCGCTGCTCTCCGCCAAATGGGTCTTCCCTCCGCCTTTTCCGCCCCCGCCGGCGCAACTTTCGCCGCGCCGCCTCCCGCGCTCGGCGCGCAGGCTCCAGGTGGGATGGCGGGAAACCCAGCGGGTTTGGCGGCGCTTTATCCGTGGAGATTCGGTGGAGTTCCCTTCCCGGCGGGCCAGGCTCCCGCCGAAGCTCCGCTTTCTCTCCCCGGGCTCCCCAACTTATCTGCGCCTTCCGCGTTCGGCGGTTTGGCGCGCGGAAGCCCGTCCGCCTTCTGCCCCTCCACAACAGCTGCGCCGAGTAGCGCTCCTGGCGCGAGCGCGAGCGTGAGCGCAGGCCCTTCCGCGCACGCCCCGTTCCCCATCTCCGCGCCCGTACCTTCCGCCTGGTCCCCGTACATGGGCGCATATCCCCCTGGATTCGCCCCTCTTCACCCAATGTCCGCGCAGCACCTGCCTGGTGCTTCCCCCTTCGCTCCCCCCTTCAACGTGCCTGCGTTTCCGCCTGGCGCGCTTGCGCCCTGGTCCTCTGCGGGGTTCGGCCATGCCCCTCTCCCCCACCCCTCGCAGCTTCCGCCACACCCGCCCATGGATCTTTCCCGCCCATCGGAAACGATTTTCCCCGCGTCCGCGCAGGGGTTGAGCGGGAAGAGGGGGAGGGAGGGCGAGGGGAATGCAAGTGGGGGCGATGGCGCCGTGGATTTCTTGAACAAGCGGCAACGAGAGTGCTAAGAAGGGGCTCCGGTTTTGAGCGCACTCGAGGGAGTTGAGTGCAATGTGTAACAAAAGTGTGCAAAAGGCTGCCTAATACTTATAATAGATGGTTTGTTTGATAGTTTTTGTTAGTGTGCTATTGCTTTCTTGACCCTCATAACTAATAGATATCTGGAAGCTGGATTCCGTTTGGACGATTCAGACAAGCTTACCTGCTAATTGTGCCCCCAACCCTCCAACCCCTAGCCCTTCTTTAGCCAAGGAAATATCTGGTAAAAAAGTACACGAAGGGCACAGGCTCCATAAAACTTGAGCCAGGCACGAAAACTTAAATCCCATGTAGCTGACATCTATGGAAGCAAATCACATCAAATCAAATCCCCTGCGAGCTGTCTGGCGACCCTTCCTATCGCCCTTGCCACTCGGAACACTTCATGCTGCACCCGACCCCACTCCGGTGCTGCAGGCACACACAGACGAGACGAGCCAGATTGCCGAAGGCAGAAGAGACAGAGCACAGGAAGGAGTGGTTCAAGAAAAAAAAAACCAGCGGAAGCGTCCCAACCTAATGGTGAAGTATGTACGCATGTATGGCATGTATGGCATGTATGGCACACATCGCATGCATGGCACGTATGGCATGCATGGCATGCATGGCACGTATGGCATGCATGGCATGCATGGCATGTATGGCATGCATGGCATGTATGGCATTCATGGCATGTATGGCATGTATGGCATGTATGGCATGTATGGCATGTATGGCATGTATGGCATGTATGGCATGTATGGCACGCATGGCATGTATGGCATGTATGGCATGTATGGCATGTATGGCAAGCATGGCACGTATGGCACGTATGGCACGCATGGCATGTATGGCATGTATGGCATGTATGGCATGCATGGCACGCATGGCACGTATGGCACGCATGGCATGTATGGCATGTATGGCATGTATGGCATGTATGGCTTGCATGGCACGCATGCATGTATGGCATGTATGGCATGTATGGCATGTATGGCATGTATGGCATGTATGGCATGTATGGCATGCATCAGTGGTCTTCACTCATGCATCGCATTCGTACCATCTGATGTTCCCACTGTATCCGTTGCACCCCCCCTCCCCTTGACTGCATCCTGTAGTGCGTCGGTCACTGAAGGGAAGGCCACCGACCCATAGTCGTTGCCACGGCTGGGACCATACACCTGGCAGGGAGGAAGGGGGCAAGTGGGCAGAAGGGGGAGAGGAGTGAGGGGCAGGGGAAATGGGAGGAGAATATAAGGGCAGGTGTGAGGGCTGAAGGGAAGGCCACCGACCCATAGTCGTTGCCACGGCTGGGACTATACACCTGGGGGAGGGGGCAAGGTGGGGAGACGGCAGGGGAGGGGATTTAAGGGCACTGTGTTTTCGCAGTCTCCTCTGCACCCCCCTCCCCTTGACTGCATCCTGTACCGTGTTGGCCACTGACGGAAAGGCCACCGAACCTTAGTTGTTGGCCCGGTGGGACCATACACCTGGCAGGGGGCAGGGGCAGGGGCAGGGAGCACGGGGGAGGGGGGAGAAGGGAGGGGGGAAGGAGAAGGGGAGATGGGGGAAGAATATGAGGGCAAGGCGCGAGAGCTGAAGGGAAGGCCACGGACCCATAGTCGTTGGCACGGGTGGCTGGGACTATCCACCTGGGGCAGACTTTTGACTCAAAAGTCACGTCGTTGGCACGGGTGGCTGGGACTATCCACCTAGGGCAGAGGGCAAAGGAGCAGTCATGAGAGCATTCTGTAGAACAACAACCAAATCGCCCGTCATCACCCGTCATCACCCGTCATCACCCCTCATCACCCCTCATCACCCCTCATCACCCCTCCACACATACCATGTGGCGGTACCACGTGTATCCAGGCCCGAGCCCAGCAGCTTCCAGGAAGCCGCGCTCAGCGAGCACGAGTCGATCATTGATGTCCCTCAGAAGAAGAGGAAGAGGGAGGGGGAGAGGCATGCTGAGAGATGCAGTGCGGTGAGGCATGCTGCTGAGAGATGCACTGCGGTGAGGCTTGTTGAGAGTTGCACTGTCCTGTAGTGTGTTGATAGATACACTCATTAATGTGCGCCGTGCCAGTTCCTCTCCTCCTCCACCTCCTCCTCCTCCCGCTTCTCCTCCCCCTCCTCCGCCTGCTCCTCCTCCTTCAACTCCTCCCACTCGCTCTCCCTCTCCTACCGCTGCTACTGGTGCTACTGCTGCAATGGCTTCTGCTCTCTGATTGGTGATCGCCCTCACTGCCTTCTCCAGCTGACCAATGGCGTTCCAGACAGCATCCAGAGACACGTGCTGCTGTGCTGCGTGTGACTGTAACGAAGCCTGGAGCTCATTGGTGTAATCCTGGAGGAAAGAGGGAGATGGGAGATGGGAGGTATGAAAGAAGAAGCGTCAGATTGTGACACGTGCTGCTGTGCTGCGTGTGACTGTAACGAGGCCTGCAGCTCGTTGGTGTAATCCTGGAGGAAATTGGGAGGCATGAGTTGAGAGTCGGATGGGGTGTGGTATGACACGTTATGCTGTCAAAGTATGCGCATGGAAATGAGTGTGTGAGAGCTGGGCGGTGGCGCGATGGCGGGAGAAGCGAGGGTCCAGAACGGTCTCACACTCACTTACGCACTCACTCACCTTGAGCCTGAGGGCGTATGTGGAGTAGTGGAAGCGGAGAGCTGCGTCTTCTACTAGGCGCGGAGTAAGAACGCCCCACGGCTGGGCAGTGTAAGAACGCCCCACAGCTGGGCAGTGTAAGAACGCCCCACAGCTGGGCAGTGTAAGAACGCCCCACAGCTGGGCAGTGGCGCGATGGTGTGATGGTGGGTGAAGGAGAATCCAAGATGGTCTCACTCACCCACCCACCTTGAGCCTCAAGGCGTATGCGGAGTAGTTGAAAGGGTGAGTCGCATCCTTCTGACAGGCGCAATGCAAGGGACCCCCAGAGCTGGCAGGTGGCACGATGGCGTGATGTGATGGTGGGAGACGGAAGAATCCAAGATGGTCTCAATCACTCACCCACCCACCCACCCACCTTGAGCCTCAAGGCGTATGTGGAGTAATTGAAGGGGAGGGTCGCATCCCCTGACAGGCGCAGGGTAAGAGCGCCCCACAGCTGGGCAGTGGCGCGATGGCGGGAGAAACGAGGGTCCAGGACGGTTGTCATATAGTGGTAGCTGTCGTACAGGCTGTGGTACATGGGGTAGTCTGGGAGGGGTGGGAGAAGGTGGGATGGGATGAGGAGGGCAAGGAACGGAACAATGATGCTCCCAAGCTGGTGGTAGTTGTCGTTCAGGCTGTGATACGCGGGTTAGGGAGGGATGATGTGAGAGAGGGTCTAGGAGGGTTGTCTTGTCGTGGTAGTTGTCGTGGAAGTTGTCGTGGTAGTTGTCGTGGTAGTTGTCGTGGTAGTTGTCGTGGTAGTTGTCGTGGTAGTTGTCGTGGTAGTTGTCGTGGTAGTTGTCGTGGTAGTTGTCGTGGTAGTTGTCGTGGTAGTTGTCGTGGTAGTTGTCGTGGTACTTGTCGTGGAGGCTGTGGTACATTGGGTAGTCTGGGGGTGGGAGAGGGGGTTGAGAGCGAGGGACGGGGTGAGGCTGGTAATGATATATAATTACTGCTGGAAGAGGGAATGTACAATTAGTGCTGTGTGGTGGTGGTGGTTGCCGTGGAGGCTGTAATGCATTGGGTAGTCTGGGGGGTTGAGAGGGGGGGGTTGGGGAGGGATGATGTGAGAGAGGGATGAATGAGAAGAATGGGGTCATTAGAGAGGGTCCAGGACGATTGTCAGGTAGTGGTAGTTGCCGTTGAGGCTTTGAACGATGCATGGGGATAAGTTTGCAGGGGTGAGGGGGAGATGTGAGAGGGATGAGTGAGGAGGGGCAGGGGACAGGGTCAGGAAGGCGAAGAGAGGGAGGAAGGAGGAGGGCGAATAGTGGGTGCAATATCAATCAGGCTGCTGCCAGAACCATGCTCTTACCTGGTTATTATATGCATTGACACGTCTCAATGCTATTTGGGAGTCGCTTTTGAGAAGTGTAAAAAATGGCTCACGGTATGCATTGAGACGTCTCAATGCTCTTTGTGAAGCTTCTCAAAGGCACCTTTCCCTCAGTACACACCTCCCCTCCCCCTGTCAGTACGCACCTTCCCCAAAGTGCAAGTCAGCGGCGGCAATCCCAAGGTGCTGCAGGAACGGGGCGTAGTCGCTGCCGCCGCCGCCCAGCCTGCCAAGCTGATGAAAGACACGGCACGATATAATGTGATGTGATGCACTGAGTTTCTGAATCTGCATCAATAAGTATCACATCACGAGGCATATTGCAGTGCATTTAACAAGCCAACGCACACCAACCCATAGCAGGCGACTCACATGGGGCACGGTGCGGTTGGTCCTCTCAGCCCACGAGGCAAACACCGACCGGCCTTGCTTGTCCGGATCCTCCACCTGTGCAGGGTAACACAAGAAAAAACCAAGACAAGACAAGGCATGACATGCCTACATGAAGGTGCATCATGGGGTGACAAAGGCATAAGTTGGTAAAAAGAGAGAGAAACGGACTTAAAATAACAATACAATACAATACAAAACAAAACAGAACAGAACAGAAAAAACAGAAAAAAAACAGAACAGAACAGAACAGAACAAAACAAAACGAAACAAAACAAAACACAACAAAACAAAACAAAACAAAACAAAACAAAACAAAACAAAACAAAACAAAACAAAACAAAACAAAACAAAACAAATGAAGCGCGAAAACAAAAGAAAACTACAAATTGCATGCAGGGGCACTTGCGGGTCTCACCAGCTCAGCAATCTCTCTGATGACGTCATCCAGCTGTGGAGTGGCAGCAGCGTGGAACCCAGCGCCCGACACGGCGGTGTCGACGTTTATGTATGCGACGGCGTGAGAGGAGAGGAGTGGCGCGTTGTCCTCCACCCACTCTGTTGAGCCGATCTGATGAGTGGGAAGGAGGGAGACAGGGAGGGGAACCCCGCACCAGACACGGCGGTGTCGACGTTTATGTACGCGACGGCGCGAGAGGAGAGCAGCGGGGTGTTGTCCTCCACCCACTCTGTTGAGCCGATCTGGTGTGTGGGAGGGAGGGAGGGAGAAAAAGCTTTTGAAGATTCTGGAGAATATCTAGCATGTGGGTGAGGATGCATGTGGGTGAGGATGGTCTCCTCATCCTTCCCACCCATCCTCCCCCCTCATCCTCCCCCTCCATCCTGCGCCCCCATCCAGCTGTGGAGTGGCAGCAGAGTGGAACCCCGCGCCAGACACGGCGGCGTCGACGTTTATGTACGCGACGGCGCGGGAGGAGAGCAGCTGTGCGTTGTCCTCCACCCACTCTGTCGACCCAGTCTGATTGGTGGGAGGGGGAAGGGCAGTGGACGTGTGGAAAGGAGGGGCGATGTGCACGGACGAATGGGAAGGAGAAGAGCAGTGGGGTGTTGTCCTCCACCCACTCTGTTGACTCAATCTGATGAATGAGAGGGAGAAGGACAGCGGATGGGTGAGGGGGAGAAGGGAAGGGGTGTGTGAGTGAACCGAGACAAGAAGACCTACGAGAGCAGTGGGGTGTTGTCCTCCACCCACTCTGTTGACCCAATCTGACAGGATATCTGCCCACAAAAGTATGAAAACTATTCCAATGTGACAGCGCATTTGGAATATGTTGTGAAAACTCCTCTCGCACTCACCAGCCCAAACTCCTCTGCATCCCACGAGCCAAACACGATGGAGCGCGCAGGGCGCCACCCGCCAGCCAGCAATGACCCAAACACGCGTGCCATCTGAGCAGGGGAAGAGGGAGAAATGCCGGGAAAGGACAAGCAAAGCAGAATGGAACGCTCAGGTCTCCACCCAGCAGCCTGCATGATCCCGAACGCCCGCGCCATCTGATGGGGGGAGGGAGTGGGGTGGGGGTGGAAGGAGTGAGTGGGAGAGGAAGGGAGGATGGGGAGATGGGTAAAATCGTTAATGGGTTAAACACGATAGACTGCTTAGGTCTCCAGCCAGCAGCCTGCATGAGCCTGAATGCCTGAATGCCAGCGCCATCTGAGTTGAAGAGGGAGTGGGGGAGGAAGGGAGGGAACAGAGAATGAGGGTTGATCCTTCCACCCAGCTCCCTGCACCCTGCATGGGCCGAAACACGCGTGGCCTCTGAAAGGTGCACCAAACACACATGCATGAGTGCAGGAATCAATTAACGGATGAACGCATGAGTGCATGAGTGCATGAGTGCATGAATACCTGAGTGCATGAGTCCAAGAATACTTGAACAGTGCCAACCATACCTCAAGCATGCATGCATGGGCACTCATGAATCCATGCATGTCCATGTTGCCATACCTCGAGCATGCGGTGCCACTGTTGGGGTCTGCAGCACCGAACACCCATGCATCCCTGTGGTTGCCCAGCAGCAGGCAGCAGGCAGCATGAATGCATGGGCCCAGCAACAGGCAGCAGTAGCATCGAACAGCGGGCGGCATTGCCATACCTCGAGCATGCATGCGGTGCCACTGTTGGGGTCGGCAGCGCCAAACACCCACGCATCGCGATGGTTCCCCACCAGCACGTATCTGCACGAGCATTGAAGGTACAACTAGGGCATGGGCGGTAAGGTGTCTTTGAGAGTCTGTGTGTATCTGCGTGGGATTTATTGAGGTGTTATCTATTTCAGGTTGACCACATAGATAACACCACATACCCGTGTGTACAGTGGAGGCACAACCACAGCAGCATGTGGGGTTAATCACGAGCAGGGGACCTGGCGGGGATGAGTAGGGTGTTTTTGAGAATTCTCAAAAACACCCTGCAGTTCATAGGTCTGGCCATGAGTTCATAGGTCTGGCCATGAGTTCATGTCCACGCCAAAACACTCTTAGATATATCACTCTCGTCCCCATGTAGCCACGCCCCCACCCATTGAGCCTTGATTGGGTGGGGGCGTAGCCACTCAATCACTCTCACCCACCTGTCAGGTTCTGATTGACCCTTGATCGTCCCAATCACGTTGCGAATGTTGGTAACCGTGTCGTTCACCTGGATTGGGGTAGGAGAGATGGTTGTGGAGGGGGCGGGAGAGCGGATATTCAAAACACTCTTATATAAATGGCTGGAGCAAATCCACAGCAGCAATTCTGCCTGGAGGTAAGAATGGGAAGGATGGTGGGGAAAGGGCAGGGAAAGGAAAACAGGAAAGGGGGGAAAGGGAAAAGGGAAAGGGGGCAGGTTGCTTGGATCATGGCATGGAGACATGATGGCAAGGGAGTGCAGGGGGCGAGGCGAAGTCAAGGGAGAAATGTTGCTGAAGAGGAGAGGACTATTTCGAGCCAACCACATCCAACCCTTTGATCTTTCCTTTCCACCCCACTCACGCCTCAACACTCACAACTAGTATCTCCCTCTCCTCTATTTCCATCTCCACCACCACAGGCCCAGGGCCAACACGGTACTCCAACCCTTCTATATCTCCAATCCACTCTTCAGGACCAGCAGCACCCCCTTCCGCCCTTCCCCTATCAGTAGTCCCCTTCCCTATCCCTCTCCACTCACGTCTCTATTCTCGTCCTCCTCACCTCTATTTCCATCTCCACCACCACAGGCCCAGGGCCGATATGATACTCCAGCACTTCGATCTCAATCCACTCCTCCGGAGCAGCAGCAACCCCTTACGTCTTTCCTATGCCTCTCCACTCACGCTCCAGCCCACACGTCTCACCTCTATGTCCATCTCCACCACCACAGGACCCGGCCCAACTCGATACTGCAACCCTTCGATATCCCCAATCCACTCCTCTGGTGCAGCAGCACTCCCCGTATTCGTCCCCCACCTGTTTGCCCCCTCCGTCTCACCTCTATTTCCATCTCCACCACCACAGGTCCGGGCCCAACATGATACTCCAAACCCTCGATATCCCCAATCCATTCTTCCGGGGCAAAAGCACCCCCAAGCAGCTCCAGGATAAATTTCGCCTGCCCGTACGACAGCGGCAGGGCGGGGATGGGCGGCAGGCTGCCGGCCACCTCGGATAATGACAAGCGCTCGCCGCCCGGGTGGGATGGCCAACCTGGCGTCTGTGGGTCGCCAAGAGACTCGTAAATTGAGCCGCGCTGGTTGGGGAGGAAGAAGATGGGGAGGGGTTGGGTGGGGTTGGACGTGGTGGGAAGGAGTTTGGTGATGGGGTCGGGGTGGGAGAAAGGGAGTACACATATCACCGAGAGACTCGTAGATTGAGACTCACTGATTGGGGAGGACGGAGGTGGGGTGGGGTTGGTTGGTATGGCGGTTGGGGGGGAGGGGTGGGGTTTTGGTGTGCGTGGGGGGAGTAGCTAGATGGGCATGGCATAGATGAGCTGATCTACGACTTGTGAGGCGCCTCAAAAGACGACTTGTGAGGCGCCTCAAAAGTAGCTAGATGGGCATGGCATAGATGAGCTGGATGCCTATGAGCTGATCTACGACTTGAACCCAGCTCATCATAGCTCATCTATGATTGATGAGTTTTGAGTCGACTCAAAAGTCAGCTAGATGGGCATGGAATGTCAAGTCATAGCTCATCTTTTTTTTATGAGCTGGATTCATAGATGGAGCCTCACTGGTTGGGGAAAAGGGGTGTGGAGCAAGGCTTTGGTGTAGCGTGTGTGAGGGAGTATCGGGGTGGGAATTGGGTTGGGAGAAGGTACGCGTATCACCGAAAGGCACCTGAAAGGCACCTGAAAGACACCTGAAAGGCACCTGAAAGACACCTGAAAGACACCTGAAAGACACCTGAAAGACACCTGAAAGACACCTGAAAGACACCTGAAAGACACCTGAAAGACACCTGAAAGACACCTGAAAGACACCTGAAAGACACCTGAAAGACACCTGAAAGACACCTGAAAGACACCTGAAAGACACCTGAAAGACACCTGAAAGACACCTGAAAGACACCTGCAAAACACCTGAAAGACACCTGAAAGACACCTGAAAGCTCACCTGGGCGCCAGAGGGGGGTAGGCCCGGGCCGGGGGGGTAGATGGCGCCTGGAGAGGTGGCGTTGGTGGCATAGTCAGCCGGATCGGAGTAGATAATTGCTGCTGTGGCGCCACACGCTGCTGCATTGCGCACCTGATGGTTGGGGCAAGGGGTGAAGGGGTGATGGGTTGAAGGGGCGCAAGAGAGGTGGGATTGGGTGAGGTGGCATGGGTGGCATAGTCTGCCGGGTCGGAGTAGATGATTGCTGCCGTGGCGCCACACGCCGCTGCATTGCGAACCTGATGGTGGGGTGGAGGGCAACGGGGTGCAGAGAGGAGGCATGGCAAGTGGTGAGGTGGCGTGGGTGGCATGGTTGGTCTGTTGGGTCTGAAAAAATAACTGCTGCCATGGCCCCACGTGCTACCCATTGCCCACCTTGTCTCCTCTATAAATCTCCCCATATCGCATCAGCACTATCGCTCCCACGCACACCCTTTCTCCTCCTCCGCCACCTCCTCCCTTTCCCCCTCCCTCCCCTCCTTTTCCTCCTCCCAGCAAATTAATGAGCATCTGGAAATCCTCCTCTCTTCCGTAGTTGGCATATATGACAGGGCCTCTCACACTCCCCCCTTCCTCCTCCCCTCTTCCTCCTCCTCCTCCTCCTCCTCCTCCTCCTCCTCCTCCTCCTCCTCCTCCTCCTCCTCCTCCTCCTCCTCCTCCTCCTCCCCCCCTGCTACCCCTCCCCCTCGTCCCGGGCGTGTAGGCCAGGAACGGCACCGAAGCAAGAGGGTCGTGCGAGTACGGGTCGCCAGGTACGGGAAGCTCCCGAAGCGCCAGCTCGCGCGTGATTGGCTCAACGATCGCGATGCGCTGTTTGATTGGCCGGCTCAGCAGCACGGGGTAGTCCGCGTAGTGGGCTGTGACGCCGAAAGCCTGAGGGATGAACACAGGGGGGGGGGGAGGAGGGGAAGGAGAGCACAGGGGGGGAGGGGGAGAGCGCACGGGGGAGGGGGAGAGCAGCACACGCGGGAAGAGGGTGGAGAGAGCAGCACGGGGTAGTCCGCGTAATGGGCTGTGAGCCTGCGGGGTGAACCCGCGGGGAGCGGCAGCGCACATAGGGGGAGACCATGGGAGAGCACAATGGGGGAGAGAAGGGGGGGGGGGGCAGCACTGGGTAATCTATGTAATGGGCTGTGAGGTCGAACGGCTGTGGGGTGAACAGGTGGATGCGACACGGTGGCACACGTGACGAAGGTATTTAGGGCGGGAGAGCACAGGGGGAAGGGGAAGGGAGAGCACAGGGGGGGATCGATCTCAACAAACCGAAGGGGCAAAACCGGAAGCTTAAAACGCGTACGCGCGGCTTCACCTCACCTCCAGCTGTTCTTTCACGTATCTAGCAGTTTCAAAGTTTTCGGGGGTACCCGCAATGTGGGGACGTTTCGTCACCACTTTCAAAAACTCCGCTATGCTGTCATTCGATACAAGAGCCATGAAATCCGCGATAGGAGCTGCGACGACACCAGCTTCAGCAGCGACGCCGAATTCGGCGCCGGAAAATCCGGAACCGCCGCTTGCGAAATCGTGTCCGTTCATGCATAACGGCGCGGGGCATAATCTCAGCCAAGTCTTCGACCAATGTCCAGGCGCCACGTGCATTGCAGCGTTCAGGAGAACAGCCGCGGCGAGCGCCAATCCGAAGCAAGAGATAACATGCGGCAGTTTGGCGAGCTTGGACGGGACCGACCGCGCGGTGCGGAAGGAAGAGCCGCGGAGCGCGGCGGTGAGGGGGGAGTAGCGGAACGCAGTGAAGCGGGAACGCGACGCGGCGGGGCTGTGTACATCATCCATTGCCCTCAGACAACACTAACTCGTCCCACTACTACAATAAGCTGAGTTTTGAGACGTCTCGAAAATCGCGAACCCCTGATAAAGAGCAAGATACTCATATATTCCCCCGCAAGTAAGTCGCCGAGGACACATTGTTGTTGCGCGCGCTTGCGGATTTGGGGTGGGGCCACGTGGTAGCTAGCGAGCTTCTCTCTCGCCTATCCAATCCAAGGAGGTCACGGGTTCATGGTGGACCACTAGCGCTGCCATCCCCGTTCGCGAAAACAAAAACAGATCGTCGCTGGGCTGTAACATTTGCCAAACCAAAACCACATCGAAATCCCCAAACCAGTAGATTGGCCTGGTTGGCACATCATGAAAGGGGTGCCGTTGGATTGCGTCGCCTACTGTAGCACCCCCGATTTCATAGGTTCGCTGAGGCGAGCCTAGGCCCTAGTCAACGCGACCCTGCCAACTCTGCATGCTGCAACCCCGCAACTGTACCAGGCCTCAGGATTTCAGGACGTTTTACCCTGATTAGCATGTTTTTCCGGGTGAATGTTTGTGACCACCCTGTAAATACCGGATTGCTGTACCGCCCTGCAACCATCCGGCCCCGAAAGAGAATCACCCTTTAATTTCAGTTTTAAGATTCCGTAACACACAGCCTTGGCCGAGTTCGATAGGGCGGAACCCTGTCTGCGAATCTTTGTCCCGTCAGTTTCACCAGAAAACTCGAAAATCGGCGAAGTACTTGACGGGTGACCCACTCACACCACGACAAGGTTAGGACGGACGTCAAACGTCGTTGTGATTTCTTGTTCATGTATTAAGTGAAGATTCCTTCCTTCCTAGACCCTACACAACAGCAGTGTAGTCATTTTTTCCACCCTGCCAGTTCAGACAAGAAATGTTTGAACACTCTACCATTTCTAGGGTACGCCGCGGCAGGTACACTGCAGCGGCAGTGTGATTTCGACCCCAAACTCTGATTCCACAGGGTGGCCCAAAACGAATCGAGACCCCTGAACTGTACCCATAGTCAACGATGTGATGTCGCTCGATGCGCTGCTGTGGCCAGCCCCCCCACCCCACCAGTGTGGCGCTGAACTGCCTTGGAATCACCATTCTTCGCTCAAGCGAAGGTCAGCGGTGTAGTAAAGTCTCAACAAAACGTTTCACGAGTAAAACAACGCAGGTGCTCTGTATATATCGCCAAAGCTGGAAATCAATTGCAGCTTTGTTCCTAGCCAGCGCCACCTACTTTTATATTGCTTGTTAGAATAAGCAGGAATGAATGAGTGAACTAGGCAAGAGGTGAGTACAAGTAGGGGAAACCTAACCCTAAAGTGTTGTACTCACTAAGGAGTGACCCTACTGTAGCCTAGAGATACAATTGTAATTCGACACACCCCCATAGGCAAAGTAGGGGACAGCAAACACAACAAGCGGTCACAAGACCAGTCTGCAGAAGAGAACACAGCTCAGGGTGGATCACAAAGTCACCACGCATTCTGAGCACAAGCAAGTGGCCACAAGGCCAGTTCACATGCAGAGGTATATAATAGCAAGGCAGTACACTGATCACAACCTAGCAAGAGAAAACATGCAGGTATAAGATATATAGCAGTGTACAACAAGAGCAAGTCAAGCAACCAGCAGGTGAGGCAGAGTGGGCACAAGCCCAAGAGCAGTGCAGAAACTGTGATGATCACCAGACCCAAGGGCCTTGGTGAAGACATCAGCAGTGTTGGCCCGAGAGGCCACGTAAGCAAGGCGCAGCTGACCACGCTGCTGCAGCTCACGCGCAAGGAAGTAGCGAAGACCAATGTGCTTCGTTCTGTGCTCCAGTCTCTGCTCGCGACACAAGGCACGCATTGCCTTGTTGTCGACGTACAGAACTGGAGGAGAACGAGGTCAGCAGGTAGGTCAGCCAGCGTAGCTCCTGTGCAGCCATGGCCCCAGCGTAGATCTCGGCCTCACAGCTGGAACCAAGCACAGAAGAAGAACGAGTGGACCTTCACGAGATAGAACCAGAGCCAAGACTGAAGGTGTAACCCTGTGACGAACGCTGAGTCGTCTGGTCGTCGGTCCAAGAAGCGTCAGAGTGTCCAGTGAGTACCACTGAACTCAGTCCTCCAAGCACGAGCCCCATGCCCGATGTGCTGCACAAGTAACGCAGTACCCTCTTCGCAGCATCAAAGTGCACCTTTTGGTGTCTACCGGGTGCCACGTAGCGAGCCAGGAGGCTGAGAGGGTACGCGAGGTCAGGTCGTGTGCACGTCATCAGGTACATGAGGCAACCCACAAGCTCTGGGTACGGACCACTCGGCTCTACGGACTCGTCCGAAGGTGGAGCTGAGAGCGAGTGGCCGGTAAACAGAGGAGTGGGCTGTGGCGAGGACCACGTGAAGCGGAAGGGCTGAAGGACCTGGTGCACCATGTGCGACTGCGTGAGGGTGATAATGCGCCGTGCTCTGTCCCGGGTGATCTGCAAGCCAAGATAGCTCCGCAGCTCACCCAGGTCAGTGCAGGTGTGTCTCTCCTGCAGCTTCGCCTTCACTAGGGTCAGTGCCTCAGTGTCAGCAGTAGCAAAAACCAAGTCGTCGACGTACATGAGGATGTAGAACGGCGGCAGAGTAGTGTCGGTGCGTAGAAACAGCGACGGGTCAGCCGTCGAAGGAGCAAACCCAAGAGCCGCAAGTGTCGTCCTCAGTGTGTCGTGCCACTCGCGGGGCGCCTGACGCAAGCCGTACACTGGTCGCCGTAGGCTCCACTGGGTACCCTCAGGAAACGACCCAGTGAAGCCCTGTGGACGGCGCAACCAGATGGCCTCGTGAAGGCTACCCTGCAAGAAAGCTGTCGAGAAGTCAAGGGAGTGCAGCTCGTAGTCACGCTGAGCTGCAACGTGTAGCAACACCCGAAGAGTGGTCATCTTCGGGGTGGGGGAGAAGGTCTGAAAGAAGTCGACCCCCTCACGCTGACTGAAGCCTCGAGCAACGTAACGTGCCTTGAAGGCAGGCGGAGAACCCGGCGGCCGCTTCACCCTGAAAATCCACATGCCACTGACGATGTTCGCCCCAGGTGGGGGAACCTCGTCGACGTAGGTGCCTGTGGACTTCCAGGAAGCCATCTCTGCGTCCATGGCTGTCTGCCACTGAGAGGAGTACTCACCCGAAATCGCCTCCCTGTAGGAGCGCGGGGTGGGGATGTCAAGTGCATCCGGGTCTCCCTCAGGGGCAAGCAGCATGGTCGCGTGATGGGGTGAAGCGGCCGCAAGGCACTCCAGCTCCTCCTGCCTGTCCTCAAGAACATCACAGCCAAGGGCAGTACAGCCAAGAGCAGTCTCACCCCCGACGGACGGAGGACAGGCAGGGACAGGGTCAGAGACAAGACTCGCAAGGTAGTCGAGGCGGTACACAGCAGCAAAGTCAACGAGCTCAGCTACTAGGGCAGACGCAGCAGGAGACGAGAACATAGGGTCCGTCACAACCGTAGCAAGAAGGCGAGTAACAGTCGGACTGGACGCACGAGCAAGGTCAAACGGAGGGTCAGCAACGTAAGGCAGAGAGGACGCAGGAGGTAACGGTAGGACAACACGCTGAGGAACAGAGGAAGGACGGAGTGTCATATCGTGAGTGCCGGGGACAGCCGGAGCACGCGGACGACGAGTACGAGAAACACAAGCACGGACAGCAGCTCTAGGCTCAGGCTCAAGGTCAAAGCTAGACTCAGGCTCTCGACGCTCAGGGGTGGAAGCACGAGTCTCAGGCTCTCGACGCTCAGTCAGGGACTGTGTCACCGCAGTGTAAGGAGCAGGAGCAGGCAGTGGGGAGTGCAGTAGCAGTGGCGGCTGTGATTGGTCCGCCGGTGGAAACAACAACGGAGGAGTAGTACCTGCCACAGGGAAGCCAGTAGCACCAGGCGGAAGACTGAGAAGGTGGCGAAGAGCACCAGTAGCTCCCGTACCTCCAGCACGAGCAGCTCCTCCAGTACCCCCAGCAACACCTCCAGCACCAGTAGCACCAGCACCTCCAGCACCACGACCTCCGACAGCGCCAGCACCTCGAGCACCAGTAGTACCTCCAGCACCTCCAGTGCCTCCAGCTCCAGCTCCAGCGCCTCCAGCTCCAGTAGTACCTCCAGTACCTCCTGTGCCAGCAGCTCCAGTAGCAACTCCAGCACCTCCAGCACCAGCAGCACCACCTGCTCCGGCAGCTCCAGCACCTCCAGTACGAGCACCTCCGGGGCCAGCAGCTCCCGCACCCCCAGCACCTCCAGTAACAGGAGTACCTTCAGCACCAGCAGCTCCAGTACCTCCAGCTCCAGGACCTCCAGTACCGGCAGCACCTCCAGTAGTAGCACCTCCAGCACCTCCAGCACCAGCAGCAGCTCCAGTACCCCCAGCACCAGCAGTACCTCTAGCACCAGCAGTACCTCTAGTACCTCCAGTAGTACCTCCAGCACCTCCAGCACTAGCAGCACCTCCTGGACTAGTAGCTCCAACACCAGCCGGACCGTACCCTCCACCACCAGGACTGCCTCGTCGAACGACCCACGCACGAATCGCCTGCGGCGAGAGCGTCTCAAGTAGAGCAGGCTGCGAAGGCTGTCCAGCTCCAGTACCTCCAGTAGTGGTAGCTCTAGCACCTCCAGCACCAGAAGCACCTCTAGTACCTCCAGCTCCAGCACCTCCAGCACCAGCAGCAGCTCCAGTACCTCCAGTAGTACCTCCAGGCCTAGTAGCTCCAGTACCTCCAGCTCCAGGACCTCCAGAAGGACTCGCAGCACCCCCAGAGTCAGCACCCGAAGTCTCAGCACCCCCAGAGTCAGCACCCAAAGTCTCAGTACCCCCAGGCTCAGTACCCTCAGGTTCAGTACCCTCAGTCCCAGCACCCGCAGGCTCAGTGCCCTCAGTCCCAGCACCCGTAGGCTCAGTACCCTCAGTCCCAGCACCCGCAGGCACAGTACCCTCAGTCTCAGCTCCAGTGTCCACTGCAGAAGGCTGCAGAGGCGGGAAA